CACACAACTGGTAATATGCATCCCTTTTACGTTATTTATTCATGTGTAGAATGTTTTTAATCGGGGGTGTTCATATTCCATACTTAAGATTGTATGTAAATTTACACATGTATAAAACACGTTGTACATATTCTTGAAAGTCTAGCAAAAAACTGAATTAATCCTTTTTAAAAGATTAAAAAAATATATTACTAATATGTTACTAATCCTTTAGGATAAATTTAAAGGTATATGTTTCAAGCATCCAATCCACCCTGAGCTGTTCTCTAATGAATATTAATGAAATGTGCGCAATGAGGATGCGTCGTATATTATGTCGATGTTGTATTCTCACTCGTGCAGTTTTCGTTTTTACGTTTGTGTAATTTTCTCACTATATCGTGTAAATATTTTGTTGATTGTGTAGTTTTTCTGTAGTTTGTGTAAATTTCAATAACTTTGTGTATACTTTACTCACTTTGTGTAAGTTTTTACTTACTCGTGTAATTTTTGTTTAAGGTCGTGCAGAAAATAATTTTGAACCAATCGGCGTGCCATAATAGACACTCGCTCAAACGACGCAGGACTAGGTGGACAAGTGGTCATAAACCACCGAATGAAATTACGGATTCCGTTGGAATTTCATAAGCGAAATTTTGTGCTAAATGCGGAAAAAATGGATTTTTTCAATTAACAAAAAGCCCAAGGTTGTGTGTAAGAAGTGAAAACGCATGCTTCTCGTTCATCTTTTGTGTCCATTGGATTATATGTATGTTCCATGTATCAATCATTGTGAAATGAATTTATTTTATAGCAATGAACGGTGAATTTAAGAAATTTATGATCGGAGCCACGGATGCGTCTACAATAATGAATATGAGACATTCAACTCACTGGATTATTTGTACCATTTTCAATTGGATTTTTTGTGAAATACTAACATTTAACGCTACCAATTTCCTACATTGTTCATATTAAAAATTTTTGAGTTGTCATTGTATTTTAAGTGCTGTTTACTTATTTGCCTCGCCCTTTGTTCTCATTTTAACGTTACCTGTACCTGTCCAATAAGTTGAATCTTATTGGACACCTACAGGTAACTTATTGGACGGGATGCAGGACAATAGCAAATTTATTGAACCAAGTTTAACAAAAGATGACGTCACAAAAATGTTTTAACTACTGATATTCAAGAAGTCTTCAGGCACCATGCCTTCGATATTTATTTAGTTTACCTCTAAAAAAGCGTTAAAAATTCACATCCGTGCCATGAATACAGGGTTAAGACATCGGGGTTTATATGATGGAAGAAAATAAACATTTTGCGAAACTTAAATTTACGGCACTTTTACTGGCCAGTTAAGTCCACACATTCTTTTAACATTGTGAAGAATGAGATGATAGAGGAGTTGTCGGACACCTTGGCTCTACAGAGAAACAAACCATGCAGTTTGATGATAAACAGGTGGTCGGAGAGAATACTCGAAATCGGGTATTATCCGTGAAATCGCGTATAATACCCGATTATAGGGTATCGTTGAATCCTCGAAATCGGGTGTAGGAGGTGTAATCACCTAATAAAACTTATGCAATGGGATGGCGCATGTTGCCGAGTTAACTTTCATCTAGATACAAATGTTTTCTAAAGGTATCACTAGCCAAGTAAGAATTTGGGCGTCAAGATTAATGCGCTCAGGACAACAAATACCCATGGAGCTCAGTACATTTCATGATCTGCACACTAAAAGGCGTTTGATTTGCTTTACATTTTTCATAATGTTGAAAGCATATACATCTTCCTCATATTCCCCAAAGCAACAGAATTGTAAAGTATAAGAATTCGGGAATTTATAATAATTCCACATCAACACGACAAACATGAACAATTTGTAAATAAATCAAATTATACGGAAACGCATTTCACACATAAGATATACATTATAAATGCCATGTATAAATAAGGGATTGTCTATCGTATCTAATTATGTTTCATTAATTACTTTCACATTCATCTTGTGCATAAAATCAAACTTATTTATGAATGTATAAATAATGTAATGTTAAAAGTGTCTAAAATTTCGGCTAAAAAACCTCTTTCTCTTTTTTTTAAAACACTTTTTTAGTTTTTTATCATACATACATATTTGCTGAATATGTCTTCAACATTTTAGCAGATACAATGATAGTTTCGGGAATACAGTTTATGGGGGAACATAACTGTTGATCGTTTGATTTAGCTAAGCCATCAATATTTTACCATTTCTAGGCGACTTCAAAGGGGGGGGGGGCAAAGGCTACTTGACCACCTCTCGACTGTGTTCTGCATGTATCCAAGAGACCTCTCCTTTCGCAATCATTGTATTTAATGTTAATGCAAAGTTTTTTTGCTATATGTATTTGAATGTCACGGTCGGTTAAACTCGGTTATATATTTTTCATTGTAGGGAAGATTAATTTATCAAATAAAAATCATATAGGTAAACAAAAAGCAATCTGTTATTTTCTAACATAATATGATACTACAAGTAACTAACATCTTTATTTTCTAACACATTTTTCATTATTGATGAGTATTAGGAAAAGTTATTGCCATGAGTAGTAAGTATTACAGATAGAATAACTCAAAGAAAACTGTGACATATTGTCTAGAACCAATCAGATAGTGCGTTGCTTAGCATATTATAATGAAGCGATATAAAAAAAAAAAATGCGTAAAAATATAGACAACAGAAGAAAAAAAATCTACCCTGTCTATCAAATAGTATAATAAAAAATTGAAGTGGCTACAATTTTTATGAAATTTTATTGTCCGATGAGGAATTATATTCCCAAAAAGTTAAACAAGAGTGCCCAAGGCGCAATTGAACACTCCATTATTTCAGTTTGTAAAAGCTATAAGAAATATGAAAACTTGACTATGTAAATTAAATTTTTATTTTAATATGACTGTACCTCGATCTATATTGAGAAATTCAATGTATTATAAGCTTATGAGAAGGTGTACACATTTGACTTTTTTTATAATCCTTCCCTCCCCCCCCCCCCCCAAAAAAAAAAATCCTGTTCACATGACTTCTCGCTCTCAATTTTCACATAAATGCATAAAATAAAGGTAAAATAGTATATCTTGTATCGATTAGAATGCAATCAAAAATTTACGGTGTCATTGAATAAAAAATCCCATGCTAAATTGACAAAAAAGATAATCACCTTCAATTAGCTATTTTCAACCTGTTTTCCCGTGAGTATTTATTTAGTCTTATTTAAGGAGGAATGCCACACCAACTTTTTATTTTATAGATCTCTTAGTCAACCTTTTTAAACAATGGTTTCAGCATTGAAAGGCCGACATTAGCTCTTAATTATTTTATACGAATTTTTTTGTATTTTATCAAAGAAAATGAAAACAATTAATTACATCCAAATTAGATGCTTTCTTGTAAAATTTTTGCTGTAAATTAATGCATCACATGAATACCTACTAAAATATGAAAAAAAATCTGGTTAGACATTTTAAATTTTTTTATAAAAAATTATTTATGAAAATTAAACACATAATTTGTGAATATTTTTTAAACTTGTGGTTAAAATCTTCTTAAAACCAGTCACAACTGGGGAGAACATGTTCATTTATCATATTTATAAAAGAAATTGAAACGAAATATCCAAATTTTAGAGAAATTAATTTTTTTTAATTTTGGCCAATCCCGATCAAAATTAAACCGATCCCGACCATAATTGTACAATTATTGGAAATAAATAACATTTTCCTAAAAACTCTGGTCTGATTAGGTGTTATAAGGGTTAAAACATTATAGAACCTGACAATAAAATAGATTTCTTCATTGCAAATATATGAAGAGGCAATAAATTAGCATTTTATTCATTTTGTGTAAATTTTGATCGGGATCGGTTGAATTTTGATCGGGTTAGGTCCAAATATTAAAAAAATTAATTTCTCCAAAATTTCTTAATTTCGGTTCAATTTCTTTTAAAAATATGATTGACAAACATGTTTTCCTTAGTTGTGACTTGTTTTATGGTGTTTTTAACCATAAGTTTAAAAAATATTCACCAATAATATGTTTTATTTTCATAAATAATTTTTTATTAAAAAAATTAAAAAGTCTAACCAGACTTTCTCTACATATTTTATTAGGTATTCAAGTGATGCATTCATTTACAGCCAAATTTTTACAAGAAAGCATTTAATTTGGATGTAAATAATTTTTTTCATTTTCTTTGAAAAAATACAAAAAAATTCATATAAAATAATTAAGAGCTTATATCGGCCTTTCAATGCTGAAACCACTGTTTAAAAAGGATGACTCAAAGATCTATAAAATAAAAAATTGGTGTGGCATTCCACCTTAATTTTCTTCTTTATAATAACGTTGGTATTCTATTATGGCAGAGATATACAATAATTATTATTATGACTTGCTTATACTATACTATTTAGTTCTAATTTGTGCACTATTCACGAAATGTGAAACTTTAAAGATATTAAACGATTAACGCCTTGTTATGTACTTTTACAGTTAGATAACTGTTAGGAATAGTTTACATTTCACGTGAAAGGGACGCCATACATTTTTCAGTAAAATACATAACACGGCGTTAGTAGTTTAATTTCTTTAAAGTTTCACATTTTGTGAATAGTGCACAAATTAGAAAAATTAAGTATATGGAATACTTTAATGGGAAATAAAGACAAACGAAGTGTAGTTGTTTGTCGTGTGATTTTAAACTTATTTGACAATCATAAAAATTAGGTTAAATAAAAATAAATCCACAAGATACTGATGTACAAGTAACAGTAACTGGCATAATGCCCCCGTTGCTTTATTTTTTTAGTTTTTAGAGAAAGTTGCACGGAATACCCGATTTCGCGGATTCAACGATACCCTAGTATCGGGTATTATACGCGATTTCACGGATAATACCCGATTTCAAGTATTCTATCCGACCTGGATAAAGGGAAACTCTCTATTCATCTAGTGGTTAATTACAGCTACATAATGTCTGACTATGGAGCTAGAGCAGTAGTGGTGGTCAATCAGGCCGGGAAACTGAGATTCAGGTAAACTGGTCATACTCCTGCTCCAAAGAACAAACCATTCAATCCACAAGGAATCACCATAGACAGTCAGAGTCACATATCCTTACAGCTGATTATAAAAATGACTGTGTCCACATCATAGACCAGGATGGACAGTTCCTCCGTTATATAAACTGTGGACGGAGTAAACTCTGGGGACTGTATATAGATATAAATAACAATCTGTTGCTGAAATTCAAAACAGACAAGTGAAGGAAATCGAACATCTAAAATGATATTCCTGTTCTACTAGATACACGTGAAATGTTTCAAATGTACACCATTGTTCATACTCTATAATAGTTAACTTACACAATAAGCATTTAAATGTTTTATGAAGGGGGATGAAAACAGAAAAATTGTAAAATTTATATATTGTTTATATTATTTACTACATTTGATTGCTGTATTAATTGATTTGTTTTATAATCATGAAAAACTGGGCAACAAAGGATTTTAGTGTTTATAACTTCATGGACGTTTCATCTTCATTTTACAAAATAATGTTGATATAATCAATAACACACTACCTTGACTTCCTGAAGCTTGTTAAGTTGTTCCTCAGAGAGAGATTCTTTATTTAGACCAGCACAGGGCAGAATAGGTCTTTGTTTTCTCTATTTCACCTTCCTTCAGTTTATCTACTTCTTTTCTTTGGATGAGAAATAAAAATAAGTACAGAAATTTTTTTTTTGACAGTTTATTCATCTTATTAATACTTATTAGCCAACCTTTTGCAGATTTTCGCTACAATTTACTCAGTCGTTTATATTTTTTTTTTTAATTTATTGTCAGTAACATACAAATATTTCATAATGATGTATATAAACAATTAATCAGCTATTTTTCATATTTATCTATAACATTTGAAAAGTTGGTGACATCATGTGTATTTAAGGAATGAAGCTTATTTCAACTTATGTTATCCGATATAACATAACTTGGGGCAGTTTAAGCTTTATAAACCGCGAAGTATATTATTGGACATATTGTACCTGTGTATTAATCTTGGAAAGGTACATAATCAAAGAGTGGCTCGTGAAATTTAAAATCCAGAGACAGGTGAACCAGGAAGTATAAACACCTGACAACAGGTAAATAACACAGGTGTATAGATCATGTGATCTCTCTCGCTCTCTGACAACAGGTACAATATGTCCAATAATATATCATACCATTTGAAATTAAATTGTGAGAAACACATGTCTTGACCAATTTTTTTTATTTGTCTCATTTAATATTTGAATAAAGACAATTTAAAGCAACAATTTTTTTCAGCTAAAAATTCTCATAAAGCTTGAATAATGTATCCATAAAAATGGCTAAATCTCTAACTTACCTAAAAAGGCTGTATTTCTGATGTCAATGAAAATGTGTTTTTTGTTGTTTTTATCTATAAACATGTCCCCCCGCGAAACAAAAAAGCTGTGGTATGAATTTGTGACAAAACAGTTCATATTACCTGTAAAAAAAGAATTTTTGTGTCACGGGGAAGGATGTTTTAAAAATATACAGTAAAACTCGGTTATAGCGAAGTCCTTGGGACCTGTGAGTTTAATTCGCTATATCCGTAATTCGTTATACCCGTATAACGAATTCATATAACCATTATAGCGAATTCGCAATATGCATGTATTCCTTCAAGTATTACTACCAAATATGTTATTGAAGCAAATATTACAAAACATAATTTTTTATTTTCGATAACTAAGGTATTATTATGAATTGAATTTTATATACAAATGCTAAAAGGAAATAAAGTCAGCTCAATTTATCAATTTTTTTAAGTAATCTTTGAAAGTTCGTTATAAACGATGTGAATTTTATTATATTTAACCTCAATGGGATTCAAAATCAGTTCGCTATATCCGTAAATTCGTTATATCAGAGTTCGTTATAACCGTAAAATTTTACAAAGATTTGTTAAGAATTCTGCCGGGGACCCAGATAAACTTCGCTATATCCATGAATTCGCTATATCCGTGTTCGTACTAAACGAGTTTTACTGTATTCTGTTTTTCGTTGAATTCTAAAGTGTAAAACACAATACCAAAAATTTAAGTTATCCCTCTTTGTTTTCCCAAATAATTAATGTTTGATAAAAACCCATATAATTATCTATAAACAATATTAAAAATTCGTCGAATATGTTATCTTTTGAAAATTGACTTGGAGGTAGGCGGGAGAACATTACTATTGTTCAAAGTTCTTAGGAGCAGAGCAAACACGGAACTCCAAAACATCAGAGGTAGGATCAGGTGCCATGAATAAGTGAGCATCATCTGCCGACCGGTCAAACCCGCCGTTTGCTCTTTGGTAAAACCAAGAAATTGACTAACACTTAGTTATGAAAAACGCCAGCCAGTCTTTGACAATGATAAATTGTATTTCCCAACAAGGTCATTATATTAACCATAGAACCTATGATGCCTTTAAATGAGACTTCTGATATTCTTGTTTCATTTACTTGTTTGCCAATAATTAACCTCGTTTTAGAATTTGCTCATACTTATAACATGCTTTTGCATATCGAATCAACTGAGATACATAAGGTATGCGTATGCCAAATTTGTTATAACGAGTTTAATTCATTATGACAATTTCTTTGAATTTGTTATAACGATTTTAATCTGTTTTGTTAAATTCGTTTTTACGAATTCTTCGATTTGCTACCATGAATCAAATTCATGAACACGAATTGAAAAATTTGTATTTTAAGTTTAAACAAATTTAATTCGTTATAACAAATTATCGAATTCGTTTAAACGAATTCAATTCGTTATAACAAGTTTTAGAATCTGTAAAAAGAGGTTTAATTCGTATTTTTAATTCGGTATAATGAAATCAACAATTTTTTTAAACCAGATTAAATTCATATAATGAATTCAAAGAAATTGTTATATTGAATTAAATTCGTTTTAACAAATTCGACAATTCTTTATATCGGATTCAAAAATATTTTCGATGGGTCCTAAATAGGCTTCCGTAGTTTAATCAGTCAATTGCTACACAAACAAATTCCGTGGCGCATTTCGGAGTGTAATGTGTGTGTCATACAGGTGACGATGAGGGGTTAATTACGAGTAGACTTAATTGAATATTATTTCCAACATTGCTATGAAAACATAAATGAAAGTTAATGTTTTTAACCATATTTGTACATTAAGAGAATTTATGTAGATCTTTTTTTTAATTCTTGCAGTAACATCTGACGCTAAATATAAAAATTACATGTAGAAAAGAATTCTTTCTACGTAAATGAAATATAGTACAAATATTACTTATTTATTTGTACTTAGTATTTACATTACCTACCCTTTCCCGATTTGATTTTAGTTTCAGTTTAGAAAGAGAAATAATTAATGGTAAGAAAAACTACTTATTTATTTTAAAATGATCTCAATTCAGAAACTGAAGTAATTTTTTCAATTACAAAATTTTACCTAGGCCGAGGTGTCTTTTTTAATTCAATGCTCATTACATAAAATTTATATAGTCATAAAATGGTATCAAATATTTTGGGACACACTGTATATTGATCATGTAATCGATATCACTCTGACTACATAGCAGCGGAAGCTCTACACGAACTAGTTGATTTTTGAAAGAGCCGCCATTACTGTCTAAAATAAGGTAATATTTATGAATTTAATAACAGATAAACTTATGCATACAGAATATTACTCAATGACATTTTCATCTTAAATATGCATTGATTGAGAAGAAAGGTTTTTCAAAAAAAAAAACTTTGTGAATATTTTTTGCACTTTCATTTTAAAATTCACATATCAAGAAATATGAATTAAAACAAGAGTCGATTTAATTAGACAAACTAAACTTATTTCCTAATTATGTTGAATAATGATATTGAATATGATGCATGTAATCATCTATTTAGACTGGAATCAGCTCAAAATTAATGATATCTGACTTTTAATTTAAACATCATTTTTATAATAACCTTCAATTGTCACTTTTAATATGTAAACATACTGAACCGTTTTTGGCACATAGTCACTATTTATACACGTAGTATTTTCACATACTCTTTTAATGGAGTATTTCAAGGACCTAGCTATTTTTTTTTTATTCTTTTCAATAAAGTTATTCTTTTTAAATTATACAAAAAATTATCAAGCACATTTTCTTTTCATGCTATACTGAACAGAGTCTCAAGTGTAATGATGAACCCCCGTACCAGTGCCCAGGACGTGATGCTGTGTGACCTGTGTAAGACCGCTGTGGTACAGGTGCACTGTGATACATGTCTTGTCAACCTGTGTAAGGCCTGTGTGGGAGAACACTTCTCTGCTGATCTCTCAAAACCTCATAAAATTATTGACTTCAAGGACAGAAAATCCACCCTTCTATACCCTGCATGTTCATTTCACATCAAATACCAATGTACAATGTACTGTAATCAATGTGACATTCCTGTTTGTACAAAATGTCTAGCATCTCATCAACATCTGGGTCATAAATTATCAGAAATATTACAAGTTGTGGATGAGAAAAAAAAAAGATTATCAAAGAACGAACTGAATTAAATGATACAATTTATCCAACCTACCAGGACATTGGCTCTGATGTACAAACCAGAATGAGCCAGTTAAGAAAGGGATATGGAGATCTCTCAACAGCCATAACAAAACATGGAGAGGACTAGCATAAAGAAATTGACAAACTTGTCCAGAAACTTAAAGCTGAAGTTGATGAGATGAAAAACACACAGTTACAAACTCTACAGAAACATCTGGATGAAATAAATAAGACAATGTCTGACATCAAGGGTGAAATAAATGCAATTGATGTTACTGAAGATTCTAATAACATTTCAAAACTGTTTAGTATTACAAGCAATATAGATAGATATAGATATCTTCCACAGAGAATTCTGCCATCTTTGCCTAAATTCATTCCCGGCAGAATTATTGGAGGAGAAATTGGTAAATTATTTGGAGCGCTATCATCAAGTTCTTTGACTTCAGATAAACAAAGCTACAGCATGAAAACAACACAGAAATTACAAGAAACTGGACCCCCTCCTCCAGTCAAACTGCTGCTAAATGAACAAGAGACTGTCACCACCATAGACACTGATAACATTTATAATGTGGTCTGTCTGAATCATGAAGAAATTTGGACAAGTGGACGCGACAACACAATGAAACTCTACAGCATCAATCAGGGATCACTACTCAGGTCAATCAAAACCAAGTCAGGAAATATACCAACTAACACAGCAGTGACAAAAAATGGAGATCTAGTTTATACTGATTTCTATGATAGAACTGTGAACGTTGTGAAGAATAAGAAGATAGAGAAGGCGATCCGACTACGGAACTGGAGACCTTTGAGTGTCTGTAGTACCTCCTATGGTGACCTCCTGGTTATCATAGAAAGTGATGACAATAAATCAACAAAAATTATCTGTTACTCTGGTTCCACAGAGAAACAAATCATTCAGTTTGATGATGAAGGTAAACTTATCTATTTAACTGGTCCTTATTTCATTGCTGAGAACAGGAACCTGGATATCTGTGTGTCTGACTATGGTGCTAAAGCAGTAGTGGTGGTCAATCGGGCCGGGAAACTGAGATTCAGGTACACTGGACATACCCGATGTCCAAAAAACAATCCATTTGATCCACGAGGAGTCACCACAGACAGTCAGAGTCACATCCTTACAGCTGATTGTGACAATAATTGTGTCCACATCATAGACCAGGATGGACAGTTCCTCCGTTACATAGACTGTGGACTGAGTAAACCCTGGGGACTGTGTTTAGATACAGATGACAATCTGTTTGTTGCTCAAAGTACATACAGAAAAGTGAAGGAAATCAAATATCTTTGGTGAAATCCTAATCTTACTAAAATACAAGTCAAATAGTAGTAGGTGCATCTAAAATTTTCCATAATTGCATTATACTGTATTATTATTGTGATAAAACAATACTTGTATTATAATACCATCAATGTTATATCCAGGTTTTATTAAATATACATTTATGTCTCAAAAATTTTACTGTTGTTAAGGAAGCTGACTTGAATTTTATTGTGTTAAAGCTCCAAAGAGAAACTTTTTTTAAAATTTCATAAAATATGCAACTCATATGGACTTGTGTGTACATACCAAGTTATGGAAAAACTACCATCTGGGTATTTTTAGGGGAATAGTGTTAGTATTGCCAGATGGGAATTTCAGCATGCCAGAAACAATTTTTATGGTTTTAACATTAAAAAAAAAACTAGAAATATGTCTTTAGGACATGAATACCCCTCCGAGAGTATATTACTACTGCAAAATGAAATTTTATATGAAATTTGGTCAGAATATTTTGAAATGTGATGCAGTTGAATTGCTTACATCAATATTTATCAGCATATGAAGTTTGAAACTAATTTCAGAAAAATGAGGTCAAGATCAAAAGAAAGACCAATGTCAAAAATATTAAAGGAGCTGAAAAGATTGCATTAGTATGTATCAGCATTTAAAGTTGAATAAATATCATGAAGGGTTTCTTTAAAACTGACTTAGATACAAAAACAAGGTCAAATGAAAGGTCAAGGTAAAAAAAAAGTTGATGCAGTTGAATTGCTGACATCAGTATGTATCACCATATGAAGTGTGACACTAATTTATGGAAAAGGAGGTCATGGTCTAAGGAAAGACCAAGGTCAAAAATGTTGAAGCAGTTGAAAAGCTTTCATCAGTGTGTATCAGCATATGAAGTTGAAAAATATTATGAATGGTTTCCTTAAAAATGACATTTCATTTCGATAGAAGTGAGGCCAAGGTGAAAGGAGAGGTAAAAAATGTTGTTGTTGTTGAATTGAAAATAAGAAAAAGTGAGGTTAAGGTTAAAGTCAAGGTCAAAAAAATGTTGATGCAGATGCTTAGCTCTCATCAATATCTATCATCATATGAAGTTTTATGAAAATATCTTGGATAGTTTCTTTGAAACTCAGCTTTGAACTGAGCTAAAGGCATACTGTGACGGAGGGACAGACGGAAGGATGGAAGGACAGAAAAACGGAAGACGAACATGGCAAACACTATATGCCCGGCCATATTCATGGCGGGGTATAAAAATTCTAAAGATAATTCTAGTAAATTATAGACTGGATTGATAACTTCATGGTAAGAATATGGGCATACACTTACATTACACATATATTTCGCAGTGTGTTGGAATCTATGGTATTCCAAAACATTTAACATGGAAACGGGTTAGTAAGGTTAAATCATGCGTTTTATTTTGATATCACAAACGTTGAATGTCGAGGAAGTGCAACATCATAAGGAATAATCAAAACATTGTCACATTGACTTAAAGCTATTACATTAACTCTTCCATTAACATTACTTTACATGAAAATAGATTATGAAATATAAATCACATTCGCAAGAAAAGACAGATTTTTTTTTTTAAAATGTAAATATGAGCAATGACCTATTATTTCTTGAAAGATACAGTCCAACGCGCATTACTCAATTTCTCGGTCAGGAACACGTTAAGTTCTAAGACGGTACCGCTGTCAAAACCTATGAAGAGGCGTTCTGGTATTTACTGGCAAAAAGTGATATCACCTATTTGAATAGGTGATATCACTTATTCGAAAAGGTGATAGCTATTCGAATTGGTGATATCACTTATTCATTCCCAATAGGTAATATCACCTGTTCGAATAGGTGATAGCACTTATTTGAATAGGTGATATCACCTATTTGAATTCCTTACAACAATAAATAACAAGAAAACATTGATGTAACCATCAATTGTCGCCCGGGAAATAGATAAAGTAAACAATGGAAATGAGTCTTGATTATCAAACCGTTTCGATATGTGTGATAAGGCATGCGTCTAATTGATTGAGACGATAGTCGCGAATATTTTGAAAATTATAGTCGGATAAAAATCTAACAAAACGATACCATTTTAAATTTTATCAATTCCTCAGCTAAATGTTTGCTTTATAAAATAAGAATGGAAATTAAACACATACATCACCTATATACAAAAATGTATTAATTTTCAATTTAAGAATATAAAAAACTATGCGAGAAGTAAAATAAAAAACAACTTTATATATTAATTAAATATGAAAAGCATATATGTTTTTACAGATTCACTTTATGGAAGTAAATATATTATATATCTCGTAATTTATAAAGGGAAAGAATATTCTGATTAAGAATTTTTCAATATTTAGAAAATCTTTAATTCTGAATAACTTCTCCCACCTCAATCCCCATACACCCACTTAAACGTATAGAGAAGCCCGGTCCTCCGGGCTGCGATGAATGCTCCAAATGATGTAAAGATTACCATTGCAACCAAGAAAATTTGGACTACCCAGTTTTCATGTGTTTTTCCGATTTTTCATGAGTATACATGATAGATAAGTGAAATAAATTGGTTTATTCTATTTAATTTATTAAAATGGTCCTTTTATTTTCAAATAGGAAATTTTTTTTACATGTGTTAGGCAATTCATGGCCTTTTGTTGGCAATATGTTGTAAGAAATGGTAATTTATAAGTAAAAAGTCCGTTGTCAGTATATGTTAAGTTTTTTAGTCCAGTGTTTTTTTCTTAACATATCATATCGATACAATGACCTTGTCAGCAAATACAATTTATCATTGAATGAAATGCTGACTGACGTTTTTCATACCAATTGTTAGTCCATTATTTATACACTGAATTGACCACGGATTTTTTCCGTTATTTCCTGATTATGACAACGAGCACACGGCGGGTGTGACCGGTCGGCAGGGGATGCTCACTCCTCCATGGCACCTGATCCCACCTCTGATGTTTCGGAGGTCCGTGTTTGCTCTGCTCTTATTTTGTATATTTCTTTAATGGACGTTGAGAATGGGTACTGTTCGTTATTTCCATATCCTTCCTTCATCAATAAAACGCAACTGAAATGGTTAAATATATATGTAATCTAAAAGAAAACAAAGCATATGGCAGAGACTTTTGATTTAAATTATTGAAGAAAAAGTTGCTGAAACAAGAATATCAGTATTTTCCTTTAAAGTCTAGTTTATTTCGTAGATTCTATGGTCGATACAATGACTTTGTCAGCAAATACAATGTATCATTTAAAGTTAAATGCTGAATGACGTTTTTCATCCTACTAGTTATAAACACACTATATTGTCGACAGATTTCCCGATCATGACAAGGAGTACACGGCAGGTGTGACAGGTTGGCAGGGGATGCTCACTTCTCCATGGTACCTGATCCCACCTCTGATGTTTTGGAGATCCATGTTTGCTTTGCTTCAATTCTTTCGTTATCTCCATATTTTTTTTTGCATAACAATGATTTTTTTATATATATCTCTATACCGGTACTAGCATTTTAAAACTAATTATTCATAAATGTAGAATGTAAGACCATCTTTTGCATAATGTTTTCAATCGAACGAACGTCTGCTTTAGAGTCGCGAAGTAATTAGGAGTTGATCCTTACGTTGCGGGTTGAAGTCTACTGTGGGACGGACGTGGAAACCGTATAAACCGAGGTCCTGTGTATCAGTAGGTGCTGGTACAAAAAAGACCCCAAGTTGCTCAATGGCATTGAGTTCCGAATATAGGACAAAATTTGCAGATTTCCACCGCCCAATGGTAACGTCTCCATATGATTGAAAAATTCTCGAGAGGGACGTTAAACAAATGTTTGCTTACCTTCTACCGACTCAGGATAAATTAATTGGGTCGGTATAGATAGGTGGGGAAATCGGGGGGGGGGGGATGGGGTGTAACGTGGTTGAGCCAGACTATCGCCAAAGAACACTTAAGAATAAAAAGAAAAGAAAAATATATTTACATAATCACACTAAACTCACACGCACTTGCACACCTCTCTTTCACATATACTTATATGAGAAAATCAATAATTCTTATAACTTGACAGCCAGACAGACAGACAGACTAAATGTTTTCTTCATAGAATTATATCTGATAATGATTTATATTGTTGCCCTGTAAATGTTCACAGTTCTGTTATCTAGCTTTGTCACAATCACGAGCTCTAAGTTCTAACTCCTTTCAGATCGACTTATCTCAATCTAAACACCAAAAGTTTCAGCTTAGGTACATCGATCGTCCTATCGCTTCTGGGGCTGTGGTCCCGGAACTTATGGAAAGGCGATGATAACCCTCAAAAAGCTTGTATTTGTTCCATCTGGACCCTATGCTCACTCAGCTACGTACTCGTACTTCACCAACGTCATAAGGCTACAATTTACAGGACTCATAAGTATTCCAGTAAGGCAACATAATATAATGACAACCCTTAATGATATAATATTTATTAATATAATTTATTAATTAACAATAAAGAATTGATGCAAAGCAAACATGGACCTCCAAAACATCAGAGGTGGGATCAGGTACCATGGAGGAGTGAGCATCCCCTGCTGACCTGTCGCACCTGCCGTGTACTCCTTGTCATGATCGGGAAATCTGTCGACAATATAGTGTGTTTATAACTAGTAGGATGAAAAACGTCATTCAGCATTTAACTTTGATACATTGTATTTGCTGACAAAGTCATTGTATCGACCATAGAACTTACAGAGACACAAACCATTTAGTTTGATGATAAAAGCAAACCACTTTATTTGTCACCAGGATTTCTTTTGACTTTAGTTTTTGTTTCTTAATACATGTACACATACATCAGTGAGAACAGGAACCTGGATATCTGTGAGTCTGACTGTGAAGCTAAAGCAGTAGTGGTGGTCAATCAGGCCGGGAAACTGAGATTCAGGTACACTGGACATACTCCTGCTCCAAAGAACCAACATTCAGTCCACGAGGAATCACCACAGACAGTCAGAGTCACATCCTTACAGCTGATAATGGCAATTACTATGTCCACATCATAGACCAGGATGGACAGTTTATCCGTTACATAGACTGTGGACTGAGTGTACCCCGGGGACTGTGTACAGATACAAATGACAATCTGTTTGTTGCTCAAAGGGGAAACGGACAAATAAAGAAAATCAAATATCTCAAGTGAAATCCTACTCCTACTAAATACAAGAAAAATTCGAATATGTGTGCCTCTAAATATTCTCCCTAACCATTATATTATTATTGTAATACAACAATACTTAAACATGTATTATAATATCATCAATGTTATACAGTCATGTATCCAAGTTTTATTAGATAAACACTTTATGTCTCAAGAATTTATTAATCTTTACATTTTACTAATGTTAAGTGAGCTGACTGGGGTTTTATTGTGTGAAAACTACAAAAAAATCTCTTAAGTTTTATACAATATGCAATTTACAGTGTACATGCCAAGTTTAAGAAAAATCTATCATCTGAGTTAGAGAATATCTTGGTAGTGTTGCCAGATGGAAAATTTCTGCATGTCAGAAACAACTTTTATTCTTTTCACATTTACATAAAAAAAAATTGAGAGGAAATGTAAATCTCTGACTGGATTAATAACCTTACAAGCTGTTTATCTAGATAACTTTATGGTGTGGATATTGAAATATATACCCAGAATTGTACCTGTTAACCCAAATTTCTGCTTCAGTATTTCACAGATTTCTTCTTCCACGGATAACTGACTTTTCCTGCCTCCGTCCAGAATCCATAGAGTCTGACTCAAAGTGCGGCTTTACTTATTATATCTGCCTGTGGAGAAATTAAAAATAAAGATATGAATTCCTACATTTAAGTTTTATTTCTATTAGCTATAGATATTTAGAAAAGCATGCTGTTTAGGTTTTTGAGAATTACTTCAATAAAGATTTAGGTTTACTTAATGCACAAAACGACCCTGTAGATACATGTACACCAAGTTATTGACTACCACTTTTTGATCCATATCATACATTAATATAAAGTAGAAACATGGTGCTTTCATTTTCTATTAAATACCCCGGTATATATCCTCTAAAGGTCAATGTATTGAAAAACAGGCTTTATGAAATTGCAATGATCTTGAATTTTTAAACATTTCATAATGCATTGACTAGTCAGAAATTTACATCACTTTTACCAGATGCATAGACACCAAGGTTCTAAATGATACTAGTATTTTATCTATTGTCAGCAAAAACTAAGCATAGTTTTTCTTTTTTGGAAATTCACAGGGCCATTGCAAATTAGTTAACCTTGTCCTTTTTGCCTGTGATCTTCAACTTCTCAAATAATTATCTTTAAACAAGTTCAATCCACTTTATAGACGTTTACAGACATTTTTCCCTTTAATGAGAGTCTAATATGTGTATGTATCTGTATATGGGATCCGAAAATAGACTTTCTTCTACAAAGAATTTGAATTTACAAGATAAAAAGTTTAACAAGCATAATCAATATATGTTTAGTCACCATAGATCTCATTCATGTGGTTACCTGGCAATGGTTCGGCACTAAACAATTAACCTGTTCATCCACGTGGAATGTGTTGATCAGATTCATCATCTAAAGCAACTTGTAAGTCTGATCACTTACTTGGAACCTGCTACAATAAATGAACGTCATACAGATCCAGCATCTAAACCAAGTCTGGAAGTACAAAATGTAGATGCAGCATCCACTTAATTTTTGGTCCGGAGAGGGCTCATAGTCATTTTTTAATGAATCTATTCGGGGAAAAATCCAATCTGTTCACTCATGAAGAAAAATGTAGTTTAAATCCAGCATCCGAAGAAGTATGGAAGTGTGTTTAAGTTTTTTGTCTTGTTATTGCAACTTAAGTCTTTGCATCAGCCACAGGATTTGTAAAATATTTTAATGATTTCAAAGTCAATCTGCTTGTTGGTACCCATATAACATCAACTAATTTTCATAAATCCGCCACGATAAAGATATTAACTGTTTAATTTACTATCTAAAGCTTATTGAATCTACTAGGAATCAATCTTCATATACAGATTTACTCCCAGTGGATTCATTTCGTATATATATATACAGATAAATATTGTATTTTGTTTCATATTTATGCAACGTTGATGATACAATGATGAAAGCCATAAGGTTCATCAGAAAGTAAGGTTGTAAATTTTTTTGTCATTCTTTACTTTAAACATCAAATTATAAAACGATCAAGCAATTTAAGAATTTAATAGGGGGGGAGGTCTAAGTTTTTAGTTCAATGGGATATAACATACTTTTCAAAATTTGAATTTTTGTAGTTAATGCATGTTTGCAAATCAATGGGATATAACTTTTCAACCATGATTGATGAATGAACATACATGTATGTTTGCAAGCATCATACACACAAACATTTTTTGGGAAATAAACCACAAAGATTGAACTGAGATACAAAATATTTTTAGTCTAGGATACAGAAATGTGTTAGTTTTCTTCTAAGCCTGGAGACCAGTTCAGCTCAACGCTCTATAAATTAAAGAAATAAGAACAATATATTGACAGTTTACCTTTATCTTTAAAAGAAATTTGTCAATCATAACTCTAATTCTTGTTTCCCCTTGTGGTTTGAAAGGAAAATATATTATCCCGACCATCTGTCAGTGATATCACTTTCTGAGTCAATATTTCTTCAGTTCCACAACATGCAGTTTATATTGTGACCGGAAATCCTGCACTATTCAAACTTACTAGTCGCTTTTGTTGATTTTTCCTTTTTCTGAATATTGCTAGACAGTGGTAGAACCTACAGTCAAAATAAATCAAAATATTGTGGGAGTCAAGAAGTTATATCTAGGAATAAAAAATATATCACTTGAATGTTTAAATGTAAATGTGTTCTTTAATACATACAAGAAGGTGTTTTCCTTGTCCGATTAGTCGTAATTAAAATTGAGAAGAATGTCTTGCTCTCTAAACTTGCTCTACAAAAAAACACTGGTCATCAAACATTACAAAGCTGTTATCAATAAGCAAGACAAAATTGCATGACAAACAAATGTCCTGGTAGTGTGACTAATAGATTGTTTCAGTTTAGATTTAAATAGAGATACTTGAAAATGTACCTCCTTAAAAACTTAACCTGTTCAATCAAGCTGTAAGTACAGCTAGGTCAAATCTAAAAATTATAAGTAAATCTGGTAGTGTGTGAACGTTGTAACACATTATAAATACATGTTAAGTCACCATAGGTCTCATTTATATGGTTACTTATGATTGGATCAGCTTTAAAAAAAAATTCCTATTTACTGTCATGGGAAGTGTTGATCAGATTCATCATCAGAACCAAGTTTGTAGTTACATCATCCTTGTAAGTTTGATCACTTACTTCTGAAATGAACTAGTTACGAAAAATGAAGGTCAGGTTCAGCATCTAAGCCAAGTCTGATAGTACACATCCCTACATTCGGCTCGGCATTAGTTTGGTATACGTAGGGCTTACATTCATTTCTGAATGAAACTGTTTGAAAAAATCTAGCCTGATCACTCATTCAGAAAATTTTGGATAGACTCTGAGCATCTAAAGAAATAAGGTAGTGTATATTAGTTCTATGTCATATTGGGTTGTGGAGTCATCCATAGATATTTCAATGTTAAAAATAATCAAACATTTCTTATTTAAGGGGGCCGACTATAGTTTTATTGTGTGAAAACTACAATAGCGAAACTCTTCAGTTTTATACGATATATTACTTACATTAACTTCAGTGTACATGCAAAAGTTGGTTGAAATCTACCGCCCAGGTTTTTTTTTAGAGAACGTTTCAAAATACAGGTACATTTACTATACTATTTTTATAGGAAAATGCCAATTTTTAGCACTTTAAAGCAAATTATACAAATACTACAATAGACATTTGTTCAAACTATAATATTTGGTGAGTAATACTATATTATACAATATATGTAAGAAACACAAAATTCTACCGTCTTGCTACCAGAGGGGACCTCTCAAAATGCAAAAAAATAGCAAATTTTACTATTTTTATAGAGTATTACAAAATATGACGTACACAATGGATTCACATGAAAACATAATAAAAATATTAGATATATTCTCAAATTTCTCTGTTTTAAATTTCAAGAGCGTATGTTTATTACTTGTTATTTAATAATATTTTTATTACCCCTTTCTTTAAGAGCTACAGATTATCATAACGTTGAAAACACACTGCAACGACGTCACCCTACCTATCAATTGCAAAACCGGTTAAAAAATTAGTCATATCAAATTGTAATTACATTTTTATACCTAAAATTTCTTAATTTTGTTTAATTTTAATAATTAGGAGAAAAAAGTATTTAATCAGTAAATACGCTTTATTTTACTATGATGCGCGAAATATTGCGCAATGGAAACTATAGGCGGCCCTCTTAAAGTGCCATTCATTATTGGCATAACAACAGGTTGTACAATATGTACTTGCAGATGAAGTCATTCTATCAACCAAGGTACTTGCAAAATGTTGACTTCAGACTTTAAAGACCGTTGATCATGTTACATCGACTAAGGATTATATATGGTAAGAGCCAATTTTGACCCCCTAAAATCAACATTTTAGATTGATATTCAGAATTGTTTAAATGGTATTTATTTTGTAGAAGAGATAATATTAGAAATATTTCCAATATATTTTTCACATTTATATGCACTCACTGGCTGTAAATGACACGAGATGTAATGCTATTTTTGCTATCTAACAAAATAAGTCAAAAATATGCCTTTTTCTTGATGTTTTTCTTATGGGAAACATAGAGCGCAGAGTAGAACATTAGTATTGAATAGATACATCTTTAGGAAAAATATAGTTTGTTCTAGGTTGCCCTCTATATTTTCTGGAAGAAAAATTGCTTCGTGTGACAACGTGAATTTTATGATGTCATATTTCTAAATTAACGGCATTTTGAAAAATTTTCAAATTGAAAATGACCAATAAAGGTCGCATGTATAGCTGTACAAATTAAAGCTATATATAAAGTAAAATTAAGATATTCATTTTAAGGGGCCATTTGAGACACTTATCATATATTGCTCTTTTTCAGATTAGCAGGATATTGCCTGTATGCTGCACTAGCTACAGCATATCGAATCAACTGGGACATATTTTTTCACCATATGCACATGATTAATGGTGGCTTATTCTTACAAAATTAAGGGAAATTGGAGATTTACTTCGAGCTCAATGGGATCTTTTATAAAATTTAAATGAACATATGTTTGCAAGCTTCATGCACACCAATTTCTTTAAGAAAAAACACAAAGATTGAACTGAGATACACAATTTATTCAGTTTAGGATACAGAAATCTGTCAGCTTTCTTCTAAGCTTGGAGGCCAATCCAGCTCAACACTCTATAAAATAAAAAAAAAAACTAAATTTTATTGACAGTTTACCTTAATCATTAAAATAAATCTCTGAATCTTTACTCTTTCCAAAGTCACACTGCAATCAACCTTCAATTATTGGAATGTAATGAGACAAAGTTATTCAAAATAAGATGAGGATCATATACTGAATGTGGCTTCATATTTTAGCGGCTTTTGCGCGAAAAAGAATGTGTTACCTTATTCATGAATACCACTAAGAAATCATTTACTTACACAAAACAAAGCATAAACATGTGTAGCACTAATTCATGATAACGCTAACAACTCTATACCCCTTGATTCCGCTAAATTTTGAATACGCCAATTCATGTAGTAATACATGTGCAATATGTAAATACATGTATTAAAGACTGAATAAATGCATTAATTTTACATATAAAAATCTAATTGCTTTTTTAAAAAATAACAATACCCCACTATCCTTTGGAGTCATCACTTGAAAAATTAAAAATTATAAATTTCCTTATTCGATTGAAAGCATATTAGACCTTTTCCTATCCCAAGAACACCATTTCACAAAAAAATTAAAATAACAATACTTTGTGATTATTACAAGATATTTTGACTACTTATAGCCTTGACGTTTTGGAGGGAAGAAAGTTGTTTAAGGCTTTTGTTTTTTATTTATGTTTTTTATTCAAACCTTAGTTTTATATTGCTCCAATGGACATATTTGGAATAATTTTTTAATTTGCATTGCATAGAATACATGTACTAGTATTATGGATATCCCAACAATATTTTTCTGTTTTTTCTCTACAATGGTTAGACCTTAACCAAGGTTTTTATGAATATCTCAGAGCTTATCTTTACTTCTCTAGGCTAAGATTAATCTCACCTGTACATCAAGTTCCAGAATATCACACTCCACCCCAGTCAGGGTTCCAAGGTTTGGAGTAGTTCTACCGAAATCTCCATGAACATACTCTTAATGTAGCTAATGTCTTATTGAGGTACATATATTATATTCAACACACCTGCATTAAGCATTAATAAACGCATACTGCACACTTAATACACATGTGTATATACATTAGATTTTGATTCTATATAGAAATATCCTATGTTCCTGATCCCCTTTGATATTTGCATTCCTTTTTGATTTTAGGACTCTAGAAATATCCAAATTCCTCATTTCAGTCTTTTAATATAAGATTAAACAAGGATACGTGCCGGCCTGTGTTGAGAGACTCAAGCTGAAATGAAGGTCATGTCATCTATTTTCTCCGTTGACATACTGTACACAATTTTCTCCCTTGTCCTCAGAGGGCGCCGGTGTAGGACTCGAATGGTAGTCTTTTGATAAATGACAAGATCCTGGAAATAGACATCTTTCCAAGTCAAGATTGGAAATAGAATGGAAATTAAAGTAAATCATGTTATTTATATGACATTTATTTACTGATTATTCAAACTTATATAACATAATGTACATCTTTTATTTCCAATCATTTCATTTTATTAGCAAAAAAAAGTTAAAAAAAACTAAACGCCAGTAAACAGGTATAACGATGTGCAGATATATCATAGATCAATGTTTGATAGATGAATTAATTTGGGTAGGCACAATTAAATAATTCAGGACAAGTCAGGAGATCTAATTATTCTCTACTTTGTTTACATAACATGAAATACTAGGGAATTTCAAATAATCTGTCAATAAATTGTTTATTTTGATATTTCTTACTAAATTTGTTCTATATCAGTCAGAACCATTTAATAATCTATTCATGAAAACCTGGCAACAAATAATTCTAAAGTTTATAACTTTATGGACATTTCATCTTCATTTTACAAATGTTGAATAATCTTAAATAAATCACTGACCAAACAGCACAGTACCTTGACTTCCAGTAGCTTGTTCAGTTGTTCCTCAGAAAGAGTTTCCTTAGACGAACACAGGGCAGAATAAGTCTTCGTTTTCACTATTTCACCTTCCTTCAATTTATCTACATCTTTTCTTTTGATGAAAAGTAAAAATAAGAATTTACAGATGAAGGAAAAATAATCTTGAACATTTCATCATTAAGGTTCATCAAAACTGTTTTTCATATTCAAATACTCTCATTTCTTTTCTCAATCAAGAAATATAAATATTTCGATGCAAATATTTTTCATCATACATTGCAATGAAAATTTTTAAAGAAATTGCATTTGATTTTTTTAAACAATTTTACAAGAAAATAATCATTACTTATCTTCCTCTTAATCACCGGTCGATTAACCTTTAGAACTAGCTACCGGCTGTATTAGACCTATAAAACCTAAATAAGCAATTCATATCGCTCGGTAGGGTCATCGGAATGGTGCGATATTGAACATTTACAGGACAGACGTCAATTTGAATACTGATACTAAAAAGTCATTATTTTGAGTTTTTTTAGTTGAAATAATTCAATATAAATTATGTGGAAATGTTTTAGCAATATAATAAAGGAGTTATTGAACTTATATTGGTAAACATTGGCACTCGTTGGCTGTTCAAATGCACTCGCAAGCTCGTTCATTTGAACAGCTAACTTGTGCCAGTATTCACCAATATAAGTTCATTAACCCTATAATATTGCCTTTTGTATTTCCAGAATATCTTTACCCAAGAATTCAACTCAATGGGGATCATCCATTTCTACCACAAAAGGCCTTCCTGCAAAAAAGAAAAAGGTTTTTAAAAAAACATTTCTATTATAATAAGCTTACTTGTAGAAAGCAAGTTCATTAATGCCTACATGACTGTATGCTTCATGTAGTTTTATTTGTCTGAACTCTAAAATGCATACTCTCAATTTAGAATTCAGGATTTTCAATGAAAAAATCACATTCTTTAAATTAAAAAAAAATAGGTTTAAACAAAATGTTGATTCAGAAATAATTTTAGGCTTAAAATATTTTTACAGTTATAACTACAGAAAAAGCTGATAATTGCTGCACTGCCTTACTGTAATAAGTGCATTACAAATTTTCATAACTGGCAAGAAAAAGACCAGTTGTTACTTGCAGAACTGTAGCTCTCTGCTTGAGAAAATTTGGACATATATGTCTGAATTTTCTGAAACAGAGAGCTACAGTACTGAAGCTAGATGTGTCCGTGTACATGTATGTTTCCTTTGAATAGTTTAGAACTTTTAAAATTATTTTCCCATTCAAAAAGGTCCCAGATATCCATCAATGTCAACTACAGCATTTAAATTTTTCACTTAAACTGTGAACTAATATCATATTTCAAACATCACATTGCAATGGCTTAAAATTGCTTAATAAATTTTTCCATATGTTCTAAAATACTTTTATTAATTCGTACCAAACAACTTTTTTAAATTTTTCATAGAATCAAAATCTTTGACAGAAAAGAGCTTGAGATGAAGAAGTAAGTCTATTACCATAACAACAAATTATAAAAACTGTTTACATGAAAACTTAGCTAACTACAAATCCATATGAGTGAAAAATTCTCGAGAGGGACGTTAAACAACATACAATAAATCAATCATAAGATTTAGAATATTTACAAAGTTTGGCCACTTTACAATGTTTAATTGGTTGGCACTTGAAAACAAGCGATGGGTATGCGTTTTCTATATTTCATAGTAAAACTTTATTGACCCTGATGGACTAACACTAAATCCAAAGTAAATTGACTACATAATCCACAAGAAATGAAAAATGAGCATTAGCAGTCCTTTGCAACCAATAATAAAAAGTACATGTAAATCAAGTCAGCGGGGTACATAATTAAAGAGTGACTCGTAAAAATCAAAATTCCCAGTACAGGTGAACGAGGAAGTATAAATACCTGACAACAGGTAGATAACACAGGTATATAGATCATGTGATCTCTGACTACAGGTAGATAACACAGGTAATCACATGATCATGTGATTACATAGAGAGGATCAGTGAGTTATTGACAGAGAACGCCATTTACCGTCTAAACTCAGGTAATAATTTATGGATTTAAAAACAGATTAACTAAAATTCATAGTATATTAGGAATAAATATTTTCATCTTAAAAAATACTTCAAATCAGCAGAACTTCTCAAGAAAAGGGGGGGATTTTTTTTTTACACTTTGTACTTCCTTTTTAAATTCACAGTGCATGTATTTTTTAAAAAAAATACAAAAACATAAATCTATTTTGTATAGTTTTTAGGTTATAATCATTACTTATAGGCTTTTTGCAGAAGTTGAACTCTTTCAAAGAAGTTATTCAACGACCTAGTCACTTGTTCTTTTCTTTTGTTATAAATGAAGTAATTTACTTTATACAATACTCTAATTACAAGTTAAAGGTACTATAGTCTGTTCCACATAAGACAAACATACATACATCATGTATGATACATGTATATTTACATTGCATGTGTTTTCTGCATAATATAAAGTATTTGGAAATATGTTGCATTCAAACACCATAACACGGACAGGGTGCCAAAAGGTTAAGGCATGCGTTTTAGTTTGACGTCACAATCGTTGAGCGTCAACGAAGTGCAGTCATAAGTGAAAATTAAAAACCACGCTCACATTGACCAAAAATTGTTACGTTGGCTCTTCCATTAAATGTAGCTTACACACAGGATAATATATAGGTTTTTAAATATAGATCACACTTGCAGTTAAGGAAGAGAGTTTTTGATATTTAAGCAATAAATCATTATTTTTTGAAAGTCTCATAACTGCACGGTGTGTGCAAACAAATTGAGTAACGTATAAACTTCGGTATTACCGGTACATGATTCTGAACATGTACTACATCTAGATCATTAGCTGGAGATTGACTGCAAGCAATGGAAAATGACAAAAACGTCATAATGATGAATCTTTTTCCTAAAGTGACAGCCACTTTAATATAGTATATTAAATTTCTGTAACTTTTGTATATGCCATCATGTTAATTACAGTTGTAATACACCCAGTCCTTGTTGAAATCCAAAATAGTTTGATTAGAAAAATGAACTATTGAATGAATCTATTTTGAAAGTATTTGCGAGTATTTTTGAGACTTACCCGTAAAAAGTGATCACTTTAGTATCAATGGACAGAATATATATTTAATTCATCAATTAATTGCTAAATTGGCTAAAATTACTATGACTGTCATTTTTTTTTTCAACTACCAGGCTGGTACTTTAATCAACTATAAGTACTGTATACTTTTAACCTTATATTTCAGAGTCACAATTTCAATCATGGACCTCCGTACCAGTGCCCAGGACGTGATGCGATGTAACCTGTGTGAGACCGCTGTGGCACAGATGCACTGTGATACATGTCTTGTCAACCTGTGTACAGCTTGTGTAGGAACACACTTCTCTGCTGATCTCTCAAAACCTCACACCATTGTTGATTTCAAGGACAGAAGATCCACTCCTTTATACCCTGGATGTAAATTTCATAACAAACAACAATGTACAATGTACTGTAATCAATGTGACATACCTGTTTGTCCTAAGTGCATTGCATCTGATCAACATCTAGGTCATAAGGTATCAGAAATCTTGCAAGTTGTCGATGAGAAAAAAGAAAATATTACCAAAGAACAAACTGAACTAAATGAAATAATTTATCCCACCTACCAGGACATTGCTTCTGATGTACAAAACAGAATGAGTCAGTTAGAAAAGGAATATGGCGATCTCTCAACAGCCATAACAAAACATGGAGAGGACTGGCACAGAGAAATTGACAATCTTGTCAAGAAACTGAAAGCTGAAGTTGATGTCATGAAAAACACACAGTTTCAAACTCTACAGAAACATCTGGATGAAATAAACAAGACAATGTCTGACATCAAGGATGAAATTGATTCCATTTATCTAGCTAGGGATTCTAATAACATTTCAGAACTGTTTTGTATTACAACCAAAGTAGATAGATTTAGAAATCTTCCACAAAGAATACTGCCATCTTTGCCCAAATTCACTCCCAGCAGAATTATTGGAGGAGAACTTCGTAAAATGTTTGGAACTTTATCATCAAGTTCTCATTCTTTAGATAAACATGAAGCTGGATTCTCTACTCCACTCAAACAGCTGCTTGATGAACCAAAAACTGTCACCAGCATAGACACTAGGTATACAAGTCTTTACAATGTGGTCTGTCTGAATGATGAAAAAATCTGGACAAGTGGAATTGACAGAACCGTAAATCTCTACAGCATCAATCAGGGAACAAAACTCAAGTCAATCAGAACCAAGTCCGGGAATCTACTATCTGACATAGCTGTGACAAAAAGTGGAGATCTAGTTTATATTGACAGTAATGATGGAACTGTGAACATTGTGAAGAATGAGAAGATAGAGGAGGTGATCAGACTACTGAATTGGAAACCTCACGGTGTCTGTAGTACCTCCTCTGGTGACCTCCTGGTTATCATGTACAGTGATGATTTTAAAGAAACAAAAGTTGTCTGCTTCTCCGGCTCCACAGAGAAACAAACCATTCAGTTTGATGATAAAGGTAAACCACTTTATTCATTACCAATTGATCTATTTATAGGTGATAAATTTTGGTACGTAACTGAGAACAGGAACCTGGATATCTGTGTGTCTGACTGGGGCGTTAAAGCAGTAGTGGTGGTCAATCAGGCCGGGAAACTGAGATTCAAGTACACAGGACTTACTCCTGCTACAAAGAACAAACCATTCGATCCAAGAGGAATCACCACAGACAGTCAGAGTCACATCCTTATAGCTGATCGTAATAATGACTGTGTTCACATCATAGAGCGGGATGGACAGTTCCTCCGTTACTTAGACTGTGGACTGAGTCTACCCTGGGGACTGTGTACAGATGTAAATGACAATCTGTTTGTAGCTGAAATTCAAATCCGCCAAGTGAAGAAAATCAAATATCTGAAATAAAATCCCACTTCTACTAAATATACATAAATTATATAATCATCTTTTTAATAAAAAAAAAACTCTCTATCCCCATATTAAATTATTATGGATACACTTGTTTACTAGTATTGTAAAACCAGCAATGTTTTATTCATGTTAATTAAACATTCTAGTATGTGAAGAAGTTATCAATCTTTTCATTTTTGTATAAACTAATCTAGTGCATTCATCATGCAAATATATGAATTCATATACGCGGTAAGCCTTTCAAAATTTTGCGTATTTGCTTAGTTTAATTGCATTTGGCCTTGTCCATTTCTACACAAACATTATTTTTAATGACTTAATATGTAATGAAGGAAAACAATATCTTGCACATGAGGTTAAGCATCTATACAAATATATTTGCATGTAAGAAACAGCGAAGTTTTGGCGAGAAATGTTTCAGATGTACACCATAGCTGTTGATACTTCACGTACACAATCAGCATTAAAGGCGCTTCTGTGAAGAGGGAGATGAAAACTAAAAAAAATTCCATTTGTAAACGTTTTTCTACATTTGATTACTATAATCATTCATATTTATTTCTTATTATATAGTCAAATGATTGTAGAAGGATGAAAGTTTTATAAGAATTTCAAAAGATATTTCTTTGTTAAACGACTGTTACAAACCTGTTATCTCTAGTCTTTCTGTAAAAGGTGAAGATAACGAACAATGATTGATCTCAAAAAATCTATCAACATATAAATATGTGATGAAGAGGGCACAAAATATTATAGGATTAAACGTTCTTTTTGAAAAATTTATCGATGTGTAAACTCTTGACATTTTACTCACAAACTAAATAAAAGTGCGAAGCACTTTTATGTTAAGTTTGTGAGTAAAATGTCAAGAGTTTACACATCGATAAATTTTTCAAAAAGAACGTTTAATTCTTATAATTCCAATATCGAATTTTTAAAAATATTTGAATTATTTCTCTTTGAGGCCTCCATACAATCCGTTATTTCTGGACGGCGTAGGAATACATTTTACCGTAAAGGAACGTAATCGAGATGAATTTCGATAGAGTTCAACTTAAATTGTCAAAACAATCGATAAATAAACTTATAACAACTAATCGAATGTTGTTTAAGTCAACAAATATCGTAATTACGAGTTTACTTCAGAATAGTTCGTCTTTGACCATGGCCATGTTGACATAAACAACAACTCTCATAGCGAAAGTTGCAGACCGACGACGCCTTCAATTTGCACTTGTTTATTCAAATATTGAGGAACAATATAGAAAGTAAATATGAATTTGATGCTAATAGGGCAAGAGTTTGAGGTACGTTTCTTTTCCCTGTCAAAACGATACAGACTGAGCTTATTTTCTACGTATGAACGTTGAGACAGCGATTTTTAAAATTCACACTCGTGATCGGACAGTGACATAAACATTTTCACGGCGTCCATCAGTTAGGCAGTCTAGTATGTTGCCAGTTTTGTTTAAGCCCTAATTAAATTTAAAGTTTCTTGTATTCATTATTTAGCCAGAACAGACCCAGAAATAACTGCTTTCATTGTTTATACGATAACCTAGTAGTGTCATCAAGAAAGTAGTTCTGATTGAAAGAATTTATCGATGTGTAAAAATTTTCTGGAACGTGTTCTCGTCCAATCAAAACACAGGAAATCAATAGATAAAATGAAGATTGGAATTATACATAAATACACATCTATTTCATATTTGGATATTTTACTTGAAAAGACGTTAATGGTAATCTAACAATCAAGCTCTATGATAAACATGATGGATTTAACTTTTCAAGCCTCAGCTTCCCTTACTTATGCAGCAATATACCTTCATCTCCTGCATACGGAGTATATATATCTCAGTTGATTGATCAGCAGGGGATGCTCATTTCACCATGTCACCTGATCCCAACTCTGATGTTTCGGAGGTCCGTTTTTGCTCTGCTCCTAATTTGTATTGTTTTATGGACTTTAAGATTGAAAAATATGTGTTATTTCAATAGAATAGATCAACAACACAGTATTGGCAGTCTTTGTCATGGCTTTATTTAATAATGCATGTTGGAATAAAATTTGACAAACACTATATCAAATCACTATATTGTTGCATTATGTTATATGTGTGATCTACATCGAGTTTGGTTAGTTATGATGTAAAATCAACACTCCATAAAATTATCAATCAGTCAATATTTCGAAAAATCAATACTTCAATCAAACAACACAAGAAACAACATATCAATGAACATTTTCAATCAATGAGTTTTTCAATCAGTCAATATGACAATCAATCAGTTCATCAATGTTTTCAATCACTCAATGTATTCCATAAAAATGTCAATTAAAATAAGCCCAATTACTGGCCACAGACCTGGAAGAAAACAGAATCAGTGGCAGACTTAAGCAAAATTCGGCCTTATGTCTTCATGTATGATAAATAGATTAATATAATACATGAAGACATCCACCACAAGCGGACAAAATTTTGCCCCAGAGCCATGACAGGGAGACTGTATTTACACAGAGGGAGGTGGAGGATAAATACTGGCGTTAGTATGTATGATATGGAGTAATCCTTGTCGAATAGTGTTCAAAAATATAACCTGAGCGGTATTGGACAAATGAGTTCCATCATCACGATATAACTTTGATGTACATTGCTGTAGATCTGGGTATTTTATGTATGCACCGTTTCGTGCCACTATGAATGGAGCTAGGGATTTGTTAGTTCTTACTCGGGCTTTCTCAGCAGCAATGTTGGATAGCATGTGTCTATAGTTAGTTCTTGGGAGCATCTGGGACCATATGAAACGTGTGTTTGGTAGAAGGACTTGCAATTTAACAAAAGTTAATTTCATAAATTTTTGAAGCCTACGCAATGGCATAGTGCCTATACTATTGCCTCCACAGTATATCAGTACAAAATCAGGATGTCCCTTCTGATCAATTAGATGATTATCTGTGGGCTCTACATCATCATTCCATACCATACCACTATTACCGGACCAAAATACTGTTATGTTATGCTGTTGAAGATCTAGGTGTGTGTTTCCAAATTGCTTGTCAGCATAAAGGGAGGCATGATGGACTATAGATGATCCAATAATCCAAACAGTAGTTTGACCTGCAAACTTGGTATTCAGTTAGAATACGGTATGTTACAGGCATGATGATAACCATTATAATCTAATGTAAGAATTGAATGCATTAGACCTCCATCTACCTTTGGACTTAATATCCTCATCAGAAACACCTTGTGAATACAAATGAGTAGCCCCACCTATTCTGAATGAGTGTGATTTGAATATAGATGTGTCTAAACCAATGAATTTCACTGCTTTGTGTAGGAGTGATGTGAACTGATATTTGGTGAGAGGTTTAGCGTTGATATGGCAGAAAAATGGACTTGTACTTGGGGTCGGACTGACAAAAAATTGTGCGCATATTTGAATAAAGATGCACTTTGAGGACTGTATGTAATTTGTAATGTGGTACCCCTATGATATTGATCAGTTTTTGAACCTTTGATAAACAAAGAAATTTTTTTCTTGGAAAGATAGTACTGGAGTAAAGTTACTGGTGAAAGTAAATTCACTAATACGCAGCAGTGCAAAAAATGCTAAATAAAATGCAGTTGAAAACATTGTGGCTTCATAGGTGTTTAAACAAACTCTTGATAGAATTGATACCATTTGATGTAACATTTGTATGGAAATTGGGAATCGAAGGTCTTTTGCTGGATTTAGCCTTCGGAAACCTTCCAACATTTTCTTAACTATAAAGGCTTTAGTGTTGTCCAAACCCCCCTCTAACTGGATTTTGTAACTGATACCACTTAAGTAACACCTTGCTGTGGCATGGGATATCTGGTTTGTATGGAGGTATGCAATGTAGTTAATAATCTGATGGACTGGTGGAGGCCAAGCCAAGACAAAATTATATTTAGAGCGGAAGGTTTCGAAAGAGTTAATGCCCTTCTGATATGTATTTTTAGATACTGCTGCTTCGAGTAAACTTTCTACATGTCGTTTAAGAGAGTTGTCAATGCCGGAGGTATACTGACTGGAATCTTGTCTGCCTGAGGAGCCAAGGTTCTGAATCTTTCCCACTGAAATCGAGAAATTGAATCCGCGATAGAGTTTTGATAACCTGGAACATGGATAGTTTTAATCTGAATGTTATGCCTAATGCATAGCAATATCAATGGCCTTAAAAGTGTCATGACCCTTTGAGACTTGCTTTTTTGGGAATTAAGAATACAAACCAATGCAAAGTTGTCGGTATTTATCAATAATTTCTTTCCTGCAAAATAATCCGCCCAAACCCAAATAGCCAACAGAATCGGTACTAGTTCTAAAAAGGTGATATCTCTTCGAATATCTGGGCCCCATGATTCTGGCCAGGAAATAACTGCCCAGTGATTCTGAAAAATTGCACCTCCACCGTAGGAACCGCAACTATTGGAGAAAAGGTTAAGGGACTCGTTACTTGACCAGGATAGTTCAGGGAATGGAGAGCGCCCATTGTAGTCTTTAAGAAATGTTAGCCAAAGTTTAGCGTTCACCTTAACAGCTTGGGTAACCTTTATCAAAAAGTAATATTTCTTAATGCCAATTGTTGTATCGTAAAACCTGCGATTAAATGCTCTGCTGCCTGGGATGGCTTTTGCAAAAAAGTTTAGGGACCCACAGAGTGATTCCATTTCCTTGAGTGTTACTTTTTTAGATGAAAGGAGTGAGGTAAGCTTATACTGTAGTTCTATAACCTTGTTGTCAGGAATAAAGATTACCTGTTCTACTGTGTCAATCCCTAAACCTAGGAAACTCAATCTTGTATAGGGACCCTCGTTTTTTTAATCATTTTTGGGACACCTAGTTCACCACAGGTTAACTTAAATGTTTTGGCGAGTTGAGAACATTGTGGAGTATTTTGACTCCCGGCAAATAAGTAATCATCTAGGTAATGAATAATGTTTTGATTTTGGGCTTTTTGTGCTACCAGCCAGTGCAGGAATGATGAGAATTTTTCGATTGTTGAACAACCTATGGAGCAACCAAATGGCAGGCACATATCAAAATAATATTTGTCTTGAATACTCATACCTAACAAGGAAAAAATGTAGGGTGGATTGGTAAAAGTCTAAATGCACTGGACAAATCCATCTTACAGAGTAATGCCCCTTTCCCATTTTTTTGAATCATGGAAATTGCCTGGTCGAAGGAACTGTAGGAGACTAAACATAAAATTGGGTCAATTTGTTCATTGATACTATTACCGATTGGTGCTGACAGGTTTGAAATCAACCTCCACCATCGTTTTTTAGGTAACACTCCGACCGGGTTGCACCTAAGGTTGGAGAAGGGGGGAGGGGGGCTAGTGAAAGGGCCTGCCATGCGACCTAAGCTTATTTCTTTTTTAATAATTGACAATAATTCCTGCACATGTTCCTTAGCAGACTTCATGTTTTTTGGTTGTAAATGGTCTCTAGGGCTTGCATAATTCAGATAAAAACCAGATGTAAAACCATTGAGTAACAATTGGGCATCTTGAACTTGAGGGTAGAAAGCTAGGTATTTCTGTAGTACTGTGAGCTTAATTGGAGTAGAACCTAGGTGTGTTGAATCTTGATGTTGGTGACTGGTATTGCCTTGGGCGATAGGGACGAAAATTCGAATTAGATTGTTGGGCATAATTTTGCTGTCCTGCGGTTGGGCGAGTTAGGTTTAATCTAGTGTTAGACTGTTGGTAGTTGGTATTAGGCCTTGAAGATTGAGTAAGTGTAGACTGGTAGGCCCAGCAGTGTATACGTGGATGGGTCTTATTACAGTGCATGCATGCATGCTGATAAAAACACTGTGATTTGGAGCATGAGCCTTTGAGATTGTAATCAAAGCATTTAAGTGACGCTTTTGGTTGTGGGGCATTGAGGCTAGGTTGGGCCTGCATGTTTATTAACCACAACTCTGCGTCGACTGAGCCAAAAGAAAGTGATGTATTTTTGGACATTTTAAAACGGAACTGTCTGTCGTATTCGAGCCAATTAGCATTTGTGTTTCGGCTGTAGCCTAGGCGCACTGTGTGTATATATTTTAATAAGACCTGAATATCAGAAGGATGCCTAGCTAGGTATATACTAGCGAATATTAAAACAGCATCAACCAAACTTTGCATTGTAATGATTTTGGTTGTTTTGGTTTTTGGTTCGATGACCAATTGTCCTTCAACAATTGAGAATTTATGCGTTGAATTTTGTTGAGAAGAATTTCCAGAAAGAATTTGCAATTGGCGCGCACTTAGAATATATACTGGTATTGACTGGGGATGGTGTCAAAGCTCAATAATTGTAAAGGGTAGTGTCAAAAGTCAGTGATGTTTAAATGTTGCAAGAGTTATGCCTCTTTAGCTATTTTACAAAAGTTGATCTACTCATTTCTATAAAACAACTTAACTCATATTGAGTTAAGTTTGATTATCTCCATATCCTTCATCAAAATAATTTCAAACCAAGGTCAAAGTCACCTTTATTTTATAAGCATTTTTCCATCAAGAGATTCCATATGTAACCATAAAAAAAATCATGAGGTCCATATATAAGGTTTAAATATAAATATCTTCTTTCCCTTGCCACAACTTTAATATAGGGTTGAGATGCACTCTTTAGTTATCCAAGTGTCTTCATTACGAATTTATGAACTGGACACAGATCTTTTTGCTATTGTTCTTAATAAAACTGTCAAATGAGCGTTAAAACATACTCATATATAGGTCATCAAGTAAGAGCTTCCAAGTGTCCAGTGATTGCTTGTAAATGATTGCATTGACAGATACATAGACAAGGTGATATGTATACATTTATAACCAAATACCCTGCTCTGCAAGATATAATGTAGAACTTATCCTGCATGAACAGCATAATTACAAGGGAAAACATTTCATTATGAATTTTAAAAAAACACAAAGAACTGACCAACCACAAAGACAGCGTCATGGACACACTTGATCTCATCACATTTACAGACACTGTTTTCATTGCTCTTAGGGACACTGTAGTTCCTGTTAAAATAAATGAATAATTTACTCAATTTACAGTGAAATCTTGATATCTTGGACCTATGAAGAATGATAAATATAAAATAAATTATATTTCAAAACATGGACAGCATCGTATAATATATTTTTAATTAATTTGCTAAATTATAAGTAAGAGTACATAGAAAATCAAAAATAACGAAGCTCACTTTAAGGAATATCATTTACCTAACATCAAATCGTTAGTATGGCAATGTGCATCAATAGATGTGTCATCTTTGCAAGTTTGGTACAGGTAGGATTTATAGTTAATTGAAATGGACCTAACTTAGCTCAGGTCTAGTATCTGAAGTATTCCTGATGGTGAGGGGGAAAATCCCAAGATGTATCATACAGGCAAGTTTGGCCACAATAGGGTTTATAGCTTACTTGAGAATAATAAGAACAGGTCACTCAGCAAACCTTAGAAGGTATTTCCTTAGATCTTCTAAATCATATATCAGTTTTGAGTGTATATCTCATTTGAATCGATACGCAAGAGCATGCTCTACGTATGAACAATTACTAAAACAAGGTAAATTATTGACAAGTTAAGCAAGTTGATGAAATTAGAATATCAACAGTCTCGTTTAAAGTCATCATTTCGTAAGTTCTATGGTCCATACAATGACCTTGTCAGCTAATACAATTTATCATTGAGTCAAATGCTGACTAACGTTTTTCATACTAATTATTAGTCCATTGTTTATAGACTGAATTGACGACGGATTTACACGTTATTTCCTTATCATGCCAACGAGCACACGGCGGGTGTGACCGGTCAGCAGGGGATGCTCACTCCTCCTCCTCCTCCTCCACCATGGCACTTGATCCCACCTCTGATGTTTCAGAGGTCCGTGTTTGGACTTGATGTTGAATACCATTCGTTATCTCTATATCCTTATTACACTTCCTTTTTCTCTGTCATAAAATCTTAAAAATAATTTTAAACATGTTTGTAATAAAACAATTTCTTTATTCTAATATTTTCTGAATTATGAAGGGTTTCAGCAGACCTAGTTTCATGCATGTATTTGGTTACGAACACTAAACATGGTAAAAACAGAGTCTATCTAGCAAGGTAGTTTGTACATACTACTTACTGGAAGCTGCTAATGAACAGAATATTTATAAAGAATTAATCTTTTGCAATTAATCAAAAATTATATATTAAACTTAGAAGAGATACATAATTTATCAATAAATGAATCACGAGACTTTACCCCCAAAATAGGCTAACAAAGAAGAATAAACATCTGATAACAGGTACACAACACGGGGGTGATAATCATGTGCTTTCTGATTTCGTAGAGAGGATCAGTAGCTTATTGGCTGGGGACGTAATTACTGTCTGAAATCAGGTAATAATTATCGTCAATTAACATTTGTTTAAAAACACATTTACCCTCTGAATAATGAAGTCACGTCTTCCAGCATAGCAACAGTCAATATTGCTAGACTGCGGGTGTTATTCCATAAACTACATTATAGTGAATGCGCAGAATTATGCACGTATGGTTCACTATTAAAATATTTAGTATAATGTAAAAAAAAAAAAAAAAAAATACTGCATGTACTTGAGTGTAACATTGAAAAAAATCAGCCCCCCTTTTTTTTTTTGGGGGGGGGGGAAATTTCAATGTTACACTCAACTACGTGCATTATTTTTTTCAAAGAAAGATATAAATATTTTTTATACCGTTGCTTTATTTTCATTTAAAACATATTTAACATCAGTCTATTATCTAATTACATGTATAAGAAAACTTATAATAATGAAATGAGTTACATATGCATGTAAGTAATAAAATGGTGTTCTAGGACTAGTACTGTGGGTAACTCATACCTCATTATGTCAGAAACTATCAGCTGGAAATTTTAGGTGCAGGTTTATTCACCTCAAACAGTCTAATACATGTGACATTACCGGTATGTAAGACGACATCTTTTAGTTGTTTATTTCCAGAAACTATATATTCTTTTCTATTATGAAATATATCAGACAACAAAAAGTATTGAGGCTAAAATGTCCATAAACAATACAAAATACAAAATAAAAACAAAGCAAAGACGGACCTAGAATAACAGAGATGGGATCGGGTGCCATGGAGGAGTGAGCATCCCTTGAGGACTTGTCACGCCCACCGTACTCGTGTGTTCCTTGTCATGATCGGGAAATGACGTGAAAATCTGTCGATAATTCAGTGTATATATAGTTGCCTAATAATTAGTATGAAACCGTCAGTCAGCATTTTTACATTTTAATAAATAGTATTTACTCACAGGGTCATTGTATCGACAGGGAACTTTCAAAATAACGACTTTAAACGAGACTGTTGATATCCTTGTTTCAGCAACTTGTTTGTCAATAACTTCCCTCGCTTAAAAAACTGATCACATTTAGAGCATGCTCTTGCGTATCGAATCAAATGAGATATAAACTCAATAAGCAGGTGATTAAGGTGTATTGCTCTCTAAGTAAGGGAAGCTGGCAATTGACAAATTTTATTCACCCCTTTTGTCATGAAGCTTGTTTGTTAGATTACCATAAACGCCTTTTGCAAGTAATATATCTAAATACAAAACAGATTTGCCAGACTCTGTGGGTTTTTTTTACTTAAACGCACCGGAATATATCGTATCGACATTAGAATGGAAATATAACCATTGTTAATTGACAATACGTCGTCGATATATCTAAAGTTTGTGTTGAAGGCCCATCATCTCCCATAGAAAGAGAGCTTTGGGTATTAATTAATCCTCTAAAATACAATTAAAATAATGAACTGACAAACAAAAACAATCTTGTTTCCACTTTTGTCTACAGGGACCAGTCATACTGATCGTGTATTCTATTTAATTAAGTTTTTTTCATTTTCTGAATTAATGAACACTGAAGGTTAGGTGTTTTACAATATTCCCCTAAGTCGCTTAATGCGAGATTTAAGCATGATCTGTTACATTCTATCCATTCCAACAATGTGTCCAGGCCATCTTTTTTATGCTTTAACCATTGTCTGGCGTGATCTTCAATATTTTTCGATGTAAGATGTACAGTTGTTGTCCAGCGAACAAGTTAATTGATTTTATCCAGCTGTTACATAATTAAATCAGAACATGTTCGAACCTCATTACAACATTATGAACAGAAAGCAACAGCTAATGTAATATTAATGTATTCCCTTTGGAAGTGGCAACAAACTTGGTAATATTACAAACATATTACCTTTGACACCATTTATCTCGAAAGAATAAGCAATTCAGAATGGCAGTATCTGTCATGGCTTTAATTTTGTTTAATATAGGGTCATTACATAATGAAACAATGCTATGAAAACAATGGACAATGATCAAGTATTATTGCAGGTGTCAATGAGTAAGCGCCGATCCTCGATTTGGCATTTGGCGCATACGATTTGCAGAAACGAGGAGCCATATGGTGCTGACAACCCTGGAGGGTAAACAGAAGTTGCCAGCGATGGCTTGTTGCAAAATTCTGTAGTGCGCCGGCATGGATTGCAGCCTGGAAGGGTCTCTAAAGCCATGACGAAGGGCGATATTGCTCTGGAATCAGAAATGATAACAGCAGAAACACAGAAGAAAACTAATAAAACTTGAATGTACAAGATTTATGTGCCCTAGCAATGCCTAATATAGAAAGACTATATGAATGTATATCCGCGCATATATCAGTTATGTTTATGTAACCAGGTTTTAGGGGTGATTGGTGAAAAATTATGCAAATTTGATAAAGAATATGAATTTAATTAATGGTGAGGGTGGGTGGGTGATCGAAATAGATGAAGCGGAAAGGATGTGTGCGCAAGCGCATTATGCGACCTTGTGTTATTTTGGAAATTTGGAAGATGGAGTAATCGCGCTTAGACTATCCTTCTTCGATAACTGGCATTTACCGCACATAGCAGTAAATGCAATTATCTCGAAAGAATAAGCAATTCAGAATGGCAGTATCTGTCATGGCTTTAATTTTGTTTTATATAGGGTCATTACATAATGAAACAATGCTATGAAAACAATGGACAATGATCAAGTATTATTGCAAGTGTCAATGAGTAAGCGCCGATCCTCAATCTGGCATTTGGCGCATACGATTTGCAGAAACGAGGAGCCATATGGTGCTGACAACCCTGGAGGGTAAACAGAAGTTGCCAGCGATGGCTTGTTGCAAAATTCTGCCAAGTGGATTCCTGTACGTGAACATCAAGACAGCAATCCATCCGCCAACAAGTGGCGGACAATTTGGCAAGCAAGACATTATGTCTTATGCAACGCAATGATTCACAAAGCAATTCAAAACAATATGCAGGGTAACAACAATAGTCAATACAGTACAACACAACAATGCATCATCAAACATGATTTTTTTTTTGGGGGGGGGGGGAGGATTATTATAGGGGATAAGGGATGCAATTCAATTCGATACAATTGTGGCTACTATGGGGAATAGGATTATGGGATGGTGTGTGGGGTTCTTTTATAAGCCATGCACAGATACTGTGTTTTAGGGGAGCATAGGGAAAACTTTTTGACTGGAAGTCATGAACTTTGACAATGTCGTTTGAATTGTAGTTGTAAATATAGAATTTCCAAGATCTGATAAATGTACACAATCGAGGAATAATTTGGGCTGATCAATTTTTATATCTGGATGACGTATGAGGGCCCCATTTAACTTCTGCACAACAAAGCAACCGATGGAATTATTAATTCTTTTTCTAGCTTTCTCTGCAGCTTCGCTTGAAATCATGTAACGCCAGTATTTGCGAGGAAGTATATTTGACCATACAAGAAGAGTGTTAGGTAATTTTTTATGAAGAGAGGCTAATAATGACTTCATGGCTATTTGTAATTTTTTAAGGGACTGAAGGCCAATACTGTTGCCACCACAGTGAACTATTAGTACTCGAGGCATGATTTCCTTATGACGACTTAACAAACTGTTAATGTGTTGATCAAGTTGCTCCCATTTGAGCCCCCCAGATCCAGACCAGGTTACATCTATCTTAAGGTGCTCCAAAGACAAGTTTTGGCCAATTGATGAACGTGTGCAGTAATCTTCGGCTCGTCTGATAATGGAAGATCCAACAATCCATACCTTACAGCGAGTTCCTACAAACTTAGCTTACAGTTAGTAAGACTGACTATCTACAAGACTACATTACTTGGGCGAACATAAGACTTAAAAGCTTTGGATTTCCATCTACCCATGGTTTTAATTTCTTGCTCTGGAATACCTTGCATATATAATGAAGTTGCAGCCCCTATGCGAAATGAATGGGATTTGAATGTTGATATATCAAGCTTGAGGAATGATAGAGCTTTCTTTAGTATTTGATTGAATTGATAGTAGGTCAAGGGTGAGCCGTCCATGTGGCATAAGAACTGTGATGTTTGAGTTTGTGATGGTCTATGGGTCATGAATTCTAGTATGTTTTGGAATAGGACCTGATTTTGTTTTGTGCTACTAATTTGCATTGTTGTGCCCTTGCCATGTTGATCTGTTTTTGTTTTACCTAATGTGATCCGAATGCATGATTGAGATATTGATACATTTTCTATTGACAATGGGGAACTACAGGTGTTTGCCCTAGTGGTAGTTATCTCCCCGACTCTAAGTAAAGCGAAGAATGCAAGGCCATATGCAGAAGAGAAGAGTAATTTTTCATAGTAACTGCGGCAAACGTGTTGCAATGAGTCTATTATCTTGACTAATAGGGGAAATGTTATCGGACTTCTTGAATCTTTCCTATGTTTGAGTTGTTTAAAGCCACTGAGCATTTTTTTGATTATGAAAAATTGACATGAGTCTGGGAAATTACCAAGTTTTATGTTGAAGCTCAAGCCTGTTAGGTAGGTTTTGGCTGTAGAGTATGATGTCCCCTTTGACGAAAGGTAAGCGATATAGTTTATTAATTGGTCTATGGGAGGGGGCCACAGTTCCGTTAAGTTAAAATTTTTTCTAAATTATGCAAACGAGTCAAGACCTTTCTGGTATATTTCTTGAGTGTTACGAGAGACTGATGCTGTGAGTAGCTGTTCTACTTCCTGCTCAAATGGTTCCAGAATACCCAAGGAACTTGGCAGGGATAGAAGTCTGCGTGGGGGGCCAGCTTCCTGAACTTTTGCCACTGAAAACGAGATATGGCATCAGCAATAGAATTAGAATGACCTGGTATATGTTCGCAGCGGACTTGGATATTGTATTTTAATATTTTGTACAGGAAGGGCCTGAGAAGGGACATAACTCTAGGTGACTTTGATGTTTTTTGATTGATTATCTCGACAACAGCCATGTTATCTATATGCAAGATTATTTTTTTGCCTTGGAGTTTGTGGCCCCATATGTAAATTGCAAGAGCGACGGGGACTAACTCCAGATAAGTCAGGTCTCTACGATCGTGTTGTGACCATTCTGAGGGCCACTGCAGACAGGACCAATGTGTACCGAATATGACCCCACACCCGAGTGATCCAGAGCTATCTGAGGATATGTGAATAGTGTCCCCATCTGACCAGTAAATATCTTGGAATACCGTTGTGCCATTAAAGTCAGACAGGAACGAACTCTAGCCATATATCTACGTCTTCGCGAAGTGCCCTTGATATAGTGATATAATGGTGTTGTTTGTATCCCTGTGACAGGCTGTCATAAAATCGCCTACAAAAGGCTCTCCCTGCAGGTATTGCCTTGGAAATAAATGCCAAAGATCCGACTAACGATTGCATTTCTTTAAGAGTAATTTTGCGACGTGAGGCAACATTTTGTAGTTGGGCTTTAAGGGCATCAACTTTATCTTTAGGGACAAATATAGTTTGGGTGATCGTATTAATCCCCAAGCCTAGAAATGTTAGGCATGTTGTAGGACCTTCGGTTTTTTTCCTCTGACAGAGGAACACCTAGTGTTTCGCAAGTTGTGTCAAATGTTTGCATGAGGTTTTTGCACACAAGAGTGTTTGCAGGGCCTGCAAAAAGAAAATCATCAAGGTAGTGGACTGGGGTGTCAATATTGGCTCGATCTTGTACAATCCAATGGAGGGCCGTAGCAAATTTTTCGAATGTGGCGCATGCTATGGAGCAACCGAATGGGAGGCATTTATCGAAATAATAATTGTTAAAATGAAAACCAAGCAAGGAGAAGTCTTCGGGGCGAATAGGAAGTAGTCTGAATGCATTAGAAATGTCTTTTTTGCCTATCAAAGCTCCCTTGCCTATTTGTTTTATCATTCTTACTGTCGAGTCGAATGATGTATAATGAACGGTGCATAGATCTGGGTCTATAAAGTCATTAACGCTATTTCCCTCAGGTGCAGATAAGTTACAAATCATACGCCACCCCCATTGCTTTTTGGGAACAATGCCTATTGGGCTGCACTTGATATTTGACATAGGGATGTTCTTGAATGGCCCAGCTATTCTACCTAATTTTACCTCTTGATCAATTTTTTCTTGCAGCTGCTGTGGATTTGTTTGTGCCGATTTCATATTTTTAGATTTTTGGAATTCCCGTATACCCGAATAGCAAATGTTGAAACCATATTGAAAACCATTGATTAATTCATGAGCAATGTGTTGCAAGGGATAGTCTTTTAGCATTGATTTTAGATTGTTAACGTTGACTGGAGTTGGGGCCAAGTCCAAGAGGCCTTGGGTTGTTTGGAGGGAGCCCTCTACCCTGAAATCTGCTTGGGGGCTGGCGGGGATGTTCGGCTTGGGATGAACGAAAGTACTCTGGGCGATATGCCTGATTGTTTTGCCAGCGGCAATTTATGAGTGGGTGATTATTGGAGCATTTAATGCAGTTGTGTTGATATGTGCAGTATGATCTGCCACATGTGCCTTTGTAATTGAAGTCGAAGCATTTTGGAGATTTAGATGTAAAATTTGGTGCTTGCTGCGAGAGAGGGCTTTGGCCGTGTGTCACATACAGAAGCCACAATTCAGTGTCGACAGACCCCCAGTCAAGAGTATGGTTTCTAGCGCGCTTTAGTCTGAACTGTATGTCATAATTGAGCCAGTTTAGGTTTGATGAACGCTGTGCAGCAGTGCGGATGATGTTAATGTATTTCAGAATTGACTGAATGTGTTCAGGGTACTTTGTTAGGTAGATGCTACTGAATATGAGAAATGCATTTGTCCATGTTTCGATTGAAGTAATTTTGATTTCCTTATGCTTAGCCTTTAACACTAACTCACCAGCAACGAATGCGAGCTGTTGCTGGGGCTCATCGTTTGGTTTGAGTGGTAATAGTTTATGAAGATGGATGAAAACATTATCAGAAATATTTTGACGAAGGCTATCTGATACATGCACACCCAATGCGTCTGAGATGCTATTTAGTGAATTTGGTGTTGACGCATTTGAATTAGACATTGTATTAGTACTAGGTGTACCTGCAGAAAACGCTGTTGGTGATGCCTCCATTTCTGAGGGGCCAGGAATGTCTATAACTGATGACGTTGTAGGCTGGTTTGATAAGGCTGGAGGGATGGCCGCAGGAGTCACCTGGATTGCTTGAGTCACGGTGCTTGCAGCAGAAGTGACCTGGACCGGTTGAGTCACAGTACTTGTAGGTTTGGAGCCAGTGGAGGGTTTGGCCTTCTTGGCGGCAGCTTGTGCACGGCCCGGCCTGGCATAAGGCGATTTGGATGCCCTTTTTGCGCGAAGCATCTTTCTACAAAACAAACAACTGTGTAACTTCTGATTAACAGAATCATTTTAATTATCAGTTAATTAATTAATTATTATTTAATATTTTAATCATAATATTAATTATTATTTATTATTATTTTTCTTTTCTTTTTTCTTTTTAAATGAGTTGCTTGAGACTGTGAATGATTAAACAGTTAACTGGCTATGAATTAACAAAGTATACGTAATAGGAGTTTAAGCTTTTGAAAAGCCGCCATTAATTGATGGTGATGTTGATTATCGATCCAGCAAAATCCGCTGACATCTGAAGTGCTGAGGCATGGGAAACGCCCAATTCGCTTCCCATGCTTCGTTAAGTGTTTAATATAAACCGATGACCTATGGAACGATACCTGTACGCTACAGTAATCCTCTAATTTGGTCGAAAACTTGGAGCTGATTTTTCTTGCGTCTCAATTGATCGAAATCGATGAAGCGGAAAGGATGTGTGCGCAAGCGCATTATGCGACCTTGTGTTATTTTGGAAATTTGTTTGCGGGCAGATGGAGTTATCGCGCTTAGACTATTCTTCTTCGATAACTGACATTTACCGCACATAGCAGTAAATGCAAATATTCAATAGTCTATACGTAGTTGATCCAGGTATCTATGTATATCAAATTTAATGTGAAAAGGATTATTTACTTGGCGCTGTATAAATACTTTTTAATTGTTGTATTACTGTAAATGACTTTTTATTTTCGCGTAATTACGCGAGACAGTGTCCTCGCGAAAATAAAATTTCGCGTATAATAGTATTCCATAAGAATATATATAGCAATAACCAGAATTCGTGAAAATTTTGCCTCGCTTATAAAGAGTCAATGACAATCTCGCGAAAATAAGGTGTCGCCAAAAATTAGTGATCTACAGTATTTCAGATTGATAATGACATATTTTCTTTATATAGTTTGAAAACTTTCGGTACTGTATATTCTTTAACTCTTTACTTTAGAACCCCAAGTTCAATCATGGACCCCGGTACCAGTGCCCAAGATCTGATGCGATGTGACCTGTGTGAGACAGCTGTGGTACAGATGCACTGTGATACATGTCTTGTCAACCTGTGTACAGCTTGTGTAGGAAAACACTTTTCTGCTAATTTCTTAAAACTTCACACAATTGTTGACTTCAAAGATAAAAATTGTTCTTTACTGTTCCCTGGATGTACATCTCATAACAAACAACAATGTACAATGTACTGTAGTCAATGTGACATTCCTGTATGTCCAAAGTGAATTGCGACTGACCAACATCTAGGTAATAAAATATCAGAATTTTTAGAAATTGTGAATGAGAAAAGGGAGAACTTTATCAAAGAACGGACTGAATTGAACGAAATAATTTATCCAACCTACCAGAACATTGCCTCTGATGTACAAAACAAAATGAGTCAGTTACAAAAGGAATATGGAGATCTCTCAACAGTCATAACTAAACATGGAGAGGATTGGCACAGAGAAATTGACAAACTTGTCAAGAAACTTAAAGCTGAAGTTGATATAATGAAAAACACACAGTTACAAACTCTACAAAAACATCTGGATGAAATTAACAAGAAAATTTCTTACATCAAGGATAAAATCAGTTCAATTGATGTTGCTAAGGAATCCAATAACATTTCAAAAATGTTTGATAATACAATCAATGTAGATAGTTATAGAAATCTTCCACAAAAAATTCTGACAACTTCGCCAAAATTCACTTCAGGTAGAATTATTGAAGGAGAACTTGGTAACATGTTTGGAACTTTATCACCAAGTTCTCTGACTTCAAATAAACATGGCTACAGCATGAAGACAACACAGAAATCACCAGAAGCTGGATCCTCCCCTCCATTAAAGCACCTGCTGGATGAACCTCAGACTGTCACCACCATAGGCACTGGGTATGGAGTATTTTACAGTGTGGCCTGTCTAAGTGATGAAGAAATATTGGCAAGTGGGGATAACAACGCAATGAAACTCTAACGCATCAATCAGGGATCACTTCTCAAGTCAATCAAGACAAAGTCGGGGAACCTACCTACTGATATAGCAGCTACAGAAAGTGGAGATTTAATTTATACTGACCACAATGACAGAACTGTGAATATTGTAAAAAAAACAAGAAGATAAAAGAAGTGATCCGACTACAGAACTGGAAACCTGATGGTGTATGTTGTACCTCTTTAGGTGACCTCCTGATTATCATGGTCAGTGATGATTACAAACAAACAAAAGTTGTCCGTTACTCTGGCTCCATGGAGAAACAAACCATTCATTTTGAAGATAAAGGTAAACCAATTTATTCATCATCCAGAAATTTATTTTCATTTTAAATAACTGAGAACAAATACCTGGATGTTTGTCTGTCTGATTGTGGAGTTAGAGCAGTAGTGGTGGTCAATCAGGCCGGGAAACTGAGATTAAGATACACTGGACATACTTTATCTGTATTATTCTATCCACATGGAATCACCACAGACAGTCAGAGTCACATCCTTACAGCTGATAATAACAATCACTGTGTCCACATCATAGACCAGGATGGACAGTTCCTCCGTTACATTGACGATGGATTGATGTACCCCAGAGGACTGTGTACAGATAGACATGATTATCTGTTTGTTGCTAAACATGGAAACAGACAAATGAAGAAAATAAAATATCTCCGAAGAAATCACACACCAACTTAATCCATAATGTCATATAAAAAAAAATCTCTTATGAAGTTTGAGTGTATTCACATATTTACATGTATTCTTTATTCATTTGCATTTGTCTGAAATGGAAAAACCCACAAGTTTATGATGATACTTTTTATTTTTACTTTTGATTACTTTTTAAAGTGTCATGGTACGAAATACAAAGAAATTACTTTAACAACATAATTTACTGCGCATTCTTAATGTGTGTAATGTACTTTGAATCTCTAGGGCAAACGATTTCTAGTAACTGCGCCACGCGAGTGACAATTAATGTTGTGATTTTGATTTGATGCAAATGTAATTAAAAATCAGACGTAGTTAAATGAGCTACTGTAAGAAATAAAACAGTTGTTATTATGAGGAACGGTCTTTCTCAGGCTGCCTCTCAGTTGCGGAATTTTTTGTAATTATCAACTTTTGATTTCCGATATTTTTTAGTTTTCATTTCTGACATTTTTTTTTATTTCCGACATATTTTTTTTTTTTGTTTTCATTTCATACCATTTCTATGATAGTACCAAGCAAAAGAATTGAAGACTTACCTATGAAAAAATTAAGTTCTTTGTAGAACAGTACCGAAACTTAAAAATTCGATTAGGGTACATCAAGTGTCTTGGATATATTGTGGTGCTGTCACTGACATTTTATTTAGTGCACAGTGTGTGCTACATGTAAGCAAATAATACAATAATCACCCAAGTCACATTGCAATCATTCTTCAATAATTGATGATGAGACAAAGTTATCAAAACTGTTCACACGAGGACTAATTTGAGCATGTTTTAATGAGACCTTTTACTGCATAATGTGCATATATTTTACATCTCAAATTCTTAAATATTCTTTAAAAATTGGTTTTAAAAAATAAATAACCAATTATTCTTGTAAAAGAAAGGAAAAATTAGAAATGTTCTTCCATGTTTCTATATGAGAATTTAAATTACAAATAGGCCTATTCCTACCTAAAAACAAAAAAAAAACTGGCAATAAAATCTAACTTAGTGATGTTTGCATTTTAATTATACTACTTAGAGTCTTAATGTTAATTAGAGGGTGGCTTTTAAGAATACAGTGTAATTTTTTATTTAAAAATGTTCCTCCTTTTCTTCAATGGACATGAACACAAGCATAACTTGGGAATATTATGGATATTCTTAACATATATGCTTTAATTCTTTTATGGATACATCTTATCGATTTAAAAATAATCTCACAGGTTTAATTTTACATTTCAGTACTGTGTTCAAGCTTACCTTTACATCAAGGCCTTTGTAAGTCCGACCGGCAACAACGCCATTTTTAACAAAAACACATTGGTTGCCCATCGTAAACCCCATCGCAGGATAATATGACTGATACTTTAAGGACTACTAGGCCGATGTGGACCGATATTGGGACATCGCTCTGCCTCACACCATGGATTACCACCAATTAGCTTCGGTCTACGGCCACGTGGCCAGGAAATGTGACTAAAGCATAAAGGACATGAATTTAACAATTTGGTGTACATCAGTACCTATACATTTACATTTCAAACTTTTTTCTTCTTGATAACTCTTTGAAAGTTAAGCATGTTAATTTCTCAATATTTACAACTGAATGGGGAAAGTGTCTGATATGAACTTCCAGCTCTTATTATATTTTATATATATGATATACATGTATTCTTTCAGCTGAGGACTTTTGAAATAAATGTGAATGCCTTATGTATTTCCATTATTCAACATTTAAAAATAGATATATTATACATTTTTATTTTACATTATAAAGTTGATATAGGGAAACCCTGCGTAGTTTGTTGAGTATTCTGTGTGATAAATTGAAATTAGAAACTTGGGATAATTTATAAGCTTCATTGTGATGCTTGAATTTAAATAAAAAATACATTTGTCATTATTTATAGTATATTTTGATAAGCTAACTTATATTATATGATTCCAATAAGACCCTTAGATCAATGATTTTTCAAAGCTTGGTCACAGAGTGAAATGTTAAGTGACTTTACAATATTTGACTTTACACTAGAAAACAAGACTATAGGTATAGTATAAATTTATTGACCCCCCCGATGGACCTTCACTAATCCAAAGTAAAATTTACTGTATGAAATCTGTGCAACATCATTAATTAGCATTATTTGTCCTTTGCAACCAACAAAAACAATGTACATGTATATAAAACTTAGAGGGATATATAATCAAAGAGTGACTCATGGAATTTAAGTTCCCGGTACAGATAAACCAGGAATTATAAACACCTGACATCAGGTAAATAACACGGGTATATAGATCACTTGATTGATTTCACTCGAACTACATAGAGACGATCAGTAAGTTATCGAAAGAGGTTAAATGAAGGATTGTGCCATTACTCTTTCATATCAGGTAATTTTTTTAAAAGATTTGATAAAAGATAAAGTTATGCCCATTGAATTTTTTATCTTAAATATGAATTAAATAAGAAGAATTTGGTTAAGAATAGGGTAAATATTTTTTCGTGTACTTTCATGTTAAAAATTCACAAAAAAATGAAAACAGTCAACTTTTAGACAAATTAAATTTGGTTTCTAAAAATATTGCATAATGGTAATAAATAAAACAGCAAATGACGAACAGTATTCAAACTCAAAAGTCCATAAAAGAATACAAAATAGAAGCAGAGCAAACACAGACCTCCAAAAAATCAAAGTAGGGATCAGGTGCCATGGAGAAGTGAGCACCCCCTGCCGACCGGTCACACCCGCCACGTTCTCTTTGTCATGATCGGGAAATATTGGGAAAATCCATTGTCAATTCAGTATATAAATAATGGACTTCTGCTTCTTGTTTCATCAACTTGTTTGTCAATAATTTACCTCGTTTAAGAAATTGTTCTTACTTAGAGCAAGCTTTTGCGTATCGAATAATAACAATAATGAATATATTTTTAGATAGAAATCAACTCAAAATTAATGATATCTGACTTTCAATTAAACAGAATCACCTAAAATGTCTAACGTTTAATGAACAGTTTTGGCTCAAAATCACTGTTTAATAGCCTTTTTCACAGAATCCAAACTCTTTACAGGAAGCATTTCAAAGATCTCGCTTTTTTAATATTCTCATTCTTTTAAAAGAGGCGATTTACAGTAAATTTTTTTGGCATCGTCATTCACATTTACTTCTATATTTCAGAGTCTTAAGTTTAAAATTATGGACCCCCGTACCAGTGCCCAGGACGTGTTGCGATGTGACCTGTGTGAGACCGCTCTGGCACAGATGCACTGTGATACTTGTCTTGTTAACCTGTGTAAGGCTTGTATAGGAGAACATGTTTCTGCTGATCTCTCAAAACCTCATAAAATTGTTGACTTCAATGATAGAAAATCCACTCCCCTTTACCCTGAATGTACATCTCATAATAACAAAGAACATTGTACAATGTACTGTAATCAGTGTGACATTCCTGTTTGTGCTAAGTGTATTGTATCTGATCAACAGCTTGGTCATAAATTATCAGAAATCTGGCAAATTCTGGATGAAAAAAAAGAAAAGATTATCAAAGAAAAAATGGAATTGAAAGATATAATTTATCCAACATACCAGGACATTGCTTCTGATGTACAAAACAGAATGTGTCAGTTAGAAAAAGAATACGAAGATCTCTCAACTGTCATTATAAAACATGGAGAGAACTGGCACAGAGAAATTGACAAACTTGTCATGAAACTTAAAGCTGAAGTTGATGAGATGAAAAACACACAGTTACAAACTCTACAGAAACATATGGATGAAATAAGCAAGAAATTGTCCGACATCGAAGATGAAATCAGTTCAAGTGATGTTGCTGAAGATTCTCCTAAAATTTCAAAGATGTTTTGTATTAAAGTCAATGTAGAGAGACATTGAAATTTTCCTGAAAAAATTATACTGTCCTCATCTAAATTCACTCCAGTCAGAATTAATGAAGGCGAACTTGGTAGAATATTTGGAACCTTATCATCAACTTCTTTCACTTTAGAGAAAAATGGCTACAGCATGAAGACAACACAGAAATCACCAAAAGCTGGATCCTCTCCTCCAGTCAAACAGCTGCTTGATGAACCAGAGACTGTCACCACAATAAATACTGAGCATAGACAACTTTTCAGTGTTATCTGTCCGAGTGTTGAAGAAATCTGGACGAGAGGAAATAACAACACAATGAAACTCTACAGTAACAATCAGGGATCACTACTCAAATCAATCACAACCAAGTCAGGGAACAGGCCAGAGGACATAGCAGTGATAGAAAAGAGAGATTTAATTTATACAGATTGCAAAGTTAAAACAGTGAACGTGGTGAAGGATGAGAAAATAGAAGAGGTGATCAGACTACAGAACTGGGAACCTCAAGGTGTCTGTAGTACCTCTTCCGGTGACCTCCTGGTTATCATGCACAGTAAAGATAAGATACAAACAAAAGTTGTTCGTTACTTCGGGTCCTCAAAGAAACAAACCATTCTGTTTGATGATCAAGGTAAACCACTTTATTCTTCAGCAACGATTTTATTCATATTTGATAAATACTGGTACGTAACTGAGAACAGGAACCTGGATATCTGTGTGTCTGACTGTGGAGCTAAAGCAGTAGTGGTGGTCACTCAAGCCGGGAAACTGAGATTCAGGTACACTGGACAAACTCGTGCTCCAAAGAAAAAAAAATTAAGCCACGGGGAATCACCACAGACAGTCAGAGTCACATCCTTACAACTTATATTAACAATCACTGTGTCCACATCATAGACCAGGATGGACAGTTTCTCCGTTTCATAGACTATGGGCTGAGTTTTCCCTGGGGACTGTGTACAGATACAAATCTGTTCGTTGCTGAATTCAAGTGAAGAAAATCAAATATCTGCAGTGAAATCCTTTTATATACTTAATTTTAATCAAAAATCCTCTTTAACCCTCAATGAATTATAATTGTTAAACACTTGTTGTAAGACAAGCAATGTTTTATGAAAAATACATGTATGTCCAGAATTTATCAATCTTTAAATTTCGTAATGTTAATTCAGCAATTAACAAGTTAAATTAGATTTGAAATTGTATGCTGTAAATGTATTTTATTTAGCGTGTACGATATTTGGCGCTAATTGACTTTTGAAAAAGTTAGCTTAGATTTGATTTAGCGCATTTCTTCATTTTCTTCTTTATGTGTATAGGTGCAAGACGTTTAGCTTTGTATTTGATTTAGTGGTTGCTGCGTTCCGACAAAGCCGCTAAAAAGAATACACAGCCAAATGTAATACCTTTACAGTAATCTCATACATGCTTATATGAATTATGTGTATTTATTGACTATCATCGTATGGTACTTGAATACATGTTTAAGCAGAAATTATTTCTACTGAAGGGGGACGCAATGTTTAAGGGGATGTATATAAATTAATTTTGAAATGAATACAAAAAGTCATTTCTTCTTACAAAAAATTCATATTGTAACTGATTATTTCATATGATTTGACAACTATTTTTGATAACGATACATGATCAAAGTTTAATATCAAACTAAAATATCCCAGGGAATTTGTAAAATGCCATAGCTTCATTAAATATTTAAATAAAGCTTAAGTGTGGTCATCTATTTATTTGTATAAATGTTAGCAGCTCATGCATTTGTCTGTAAGAAAAAATAATCTCTACGAGACTAACACTTTACTGGTTCGTACTCAATATTCAATAACTGTCTAGAATCATGGTCCAATTAAAAAGTTTACATTTTAAATTGTGATTTTTTAAAACTATTATTCGTTATAAAACAGAAGAACTCCAATGAAATTCAGTTTTCCAATCATGTGAAAAATGTTTCCTACTGTCTCGTGCAAATTGTGCATTCCGCGACTGACGGTTAGAAACTATTGAGAGAAACATTGTGTTTAAGTATACAGCTGTCCAAGATGGATGTGATTTGAAAGAAAGTTTCCAATTGATATTTGTTTCTGTTCCATATCTATAAGAATTTGAAAAAAAAAGTTTTGTACATTTTCAAAAATATTAAGAGAATTATGTACGAGAATTATTTTTCATAAAACATTGCTTGTATTACATTTGTATGCATGTACATAAGTTTGATTTGCATAATAATTAGTTATCCAGTAGGGGACCTCTTTTATATTATCCTGTATTGGGCCTCGAGTCTTCAAAGCTATTTTAACGAATGCAGTTGAGTAAATCAGTCACTTTTCCTGCCGTGTTACGCTACAACATGCACGGGTCTTTTATGGTTATGTGCAATGTGTTATGTTAAGTGTGAATTACATTTATTCAGAGTCAAGTTTACTTCATTTCAACAAAAATTCTTTACTTTTAAATACCAAGCCTTTGATACGACCACTCAGCTTCTGAATTCACATCTTGAGAGAGGAAATACACGTCAGTAGTATCGGGAACCCACTGAATCCAAAATCAACTGAACTGTTGTAACTTTTCTGTATAATACATATGTTTGAAACACTTTTTGCTTAGTGTTCGTTTGAAATTCCTAAGGTAATGGATTAGGCGCTTTAACAACCAGAAACAGAAACGTACAAGCATATAAGAATTTATATGTTTTTTTTTCGTATTTAGAGTTCATTGTGATGTAACATGCTTTTCAAAATTTGAATTTTTGTCATTAATGTATGTTTGCGAATCAATAAGACTTAACTTTTCAAACATTGAATGAAAATACATGTATGTTTGCAAGCTTCATGCACATCAAAATTTCTTGGGGAAATAAACCACAAAGATTGAACTGAAATACAAAATTTATTAAGTCTAGAACACAAAAATATGTCAGCTTTCTTCTAAGCTTGGAGGCCAATCCAACTCAACACTGTGTAAATTAAAAAAAAAATCATAGGCTTCGAAAGCAAATTGAAAGTTGGGGGGGGGGCTAACTGAAAGTGCAGGGCTAAAGCAACAAAAAAGTAAAACCCAATTTTCAATGTCTATATTATGTATATATTTGCAAAATTAGTGGGGGGAGGCTAAGCCCCCTCTAGCCCCCCAACCCCCAACCCGGTTCCGACACTTATGAAAATATAATGGCAGTTTGCTTTAATCTTGAAAAGAAATCTATGAATCATAACTCTAAATCTTTCTCCCTTTCGCTTCATCTTTTCTTTTGAATTTCTGAATACAGGGTTAATCAAATATCTCAAAGTTTATCATTACTTTTCTAATTTCAATCTCACTTGTACATCAAGTTCACACTCCACCCCAGTCAGGGTTCCAAGGTTTGAAGTAGTTCTCCCGAAATCTCCGTGAACAAACTCTTTGATATAGCTAATGTTTAGTTAAGGTATATGTATATATATTAAAACACCTGCATTAAGTTTTATCGAACCCATACTGCACACTTAATACACATGTGTATATACATTAAAACTTGACTCTACATAGAAATGTCCTATGTTCCTGATACCCTATGATATTTGCATTTTTCTTTTTGATTTAAGACTCTTGAAATATCAAAAAACTTTCATTCAAATCTTAAAATATAAGACCATACAAGGATACGTGCCGGCCTGTGTTGAGAGACTCAATGTGAAATGAAGTTCATCTATTTTCTGCACTGACATGCTGTAAACTACTCTCTCCCTTGTTGCTAGAGGGCGCCGGTGTAGGACTCGAATCGGAGTCTTTTGATAAATGACAAGATCCTGAAAGTAGAATACAAAGCAAATCACATTATCATATGACATTTATTCAATGATTATTCAAACTCATATTACATCTTTTATTTCCCATTATTTCATTTAACAAAAAAAAAAACCATAAACTGGTATGAAATGTGCAGATATATCTAAGGACGACCGAGTGAGTGAGTGAGTGTGATATCATAGATCAATGTTTAACAGATGAATAAACGAGACAACGAGATACAATTTAAAAAAAAAATAAGGCATTTCGGTGAGGAGATTTGATTATTCTCTAAAATGTTTTGTCAATATTTTTGTACATAACATAAAATACCAGGGAATTTCACATTATCTGTCAATAAATAGTTTATTTTGAATTTTCATTCTGCATCACTTAACTGGTTCTATATCAAGGCCAGTCCATAATATATTCATGGCACCAAAGAATCTAAGTGTTTATAACTTCATTGACACTTTATCTTCATTTTACAAATGGTGATATAATCAATACAACACACTACCTTGACTTCCTGGAGCTTATTAAGTTGTCCCTCAGAAAAAGATTCTTTAGACCAGCGCAGGGCAGAATAGGTCTTTGTTCTCTCAATTTCACCTTCCTTCAATTTATCTACATCTTTTCTGTTGATGAAAATGTGAAAATGAAGGATGGAATTACTAGCCTATCATCACCAAGGTTCATGCAAACTCTGCTTTTTATATTTTAAATACTCTCATTTGTAGTCTCAATGAAAACGAATTTCAAATTTTTTTTTCAATATACATTGCAATGAAAAAGTTGAAAGAAATTGCACCTAATTTTATCTTAATTTTTTTAAGAAATTTAAAATTGTTATTTCTTCCTCTTATCAAGGGTCAATTAATCCTTGGAACCCTAGCTACTGGCTGTTATTATTTTTACATTGTCCTTAAAATTAGATGTATATTTCATTTACAACTTAAAATTCTTACTTGTCAACAATTTGTAAATCCCTGACTTTAATATCAGCTGACTTGTTGATTTCCTGAATGAAAAAAGGCACTAAAAATTACTCATCTACTTTAATTTGACTTCCAAATTGACTTTTCGTGGTTATAGAAAATATGTGTAGGATATTTTGTACAATAAATGTGTTTCTTACATTAAATAAAAAACCAGCATTAATGAGGATCCCCCCCCCCAAAAAAATACGTCTGGAAACTTACCAAGAGCTAGTACAATAAGTATAAGCTTAAATATTGCCTTCTGTATTTCCAGGATATCTTTTGCAGAGAATTCAACTCGACGGGGATCATCCATTTCTACAACAAAAGGCCTTCCTGCAAACAGGAAAAGAGTTTTTCAAAAAAAATCACATCACAATTATTAATAAGTTTACATGTAGAATTGCAACTCAATTATATAGAAATTATGTTAAGTTGCATAATGAAAATAAATCATAAAACCCCTCTACAATGTATATGGGCATTATTCTTGATAATTTATAAACCCTGCATATTTTTCTTAAAGAGAACAATAGAAAATTTCACTTAACGTAGAACCTACGTCGTATGACATCATAACTAGTGAATGTGTTTAGACTGTGCTAGATCCATTTTGATGTCATAATTAATTCTGTGTCACTTTTCCCGTACTTTACAGCTTCAATAGAAATGGTAGAAAATACTGCATTTTGAAGCTCACAGAATTCAATTTAAAATCATGCCGAAATAATCTTAATTCAATTACTGTAGATCACTTAGTTTTCGCGACACTTTATTTTCGCGAGATAGTCATTGACTCTTTATAAGCGAGACAAAATTTTCACGAATTGTGGTCGTTGCTCTACATAATCTTAAGTTATTTTATTATAAGCGAGAATTAAATTTTCGCGAGCATACCGTCTAGCGTAATTACGCGAAAATAAATTTCTCGCGAATAAAAAGTGATTTACAGTAATATTTTTTTGGCCTATAATGATAAATGACAATATATTTCTGGAATTAGAGAAACCTGTAGGCACCTTTCATTTACTGTAGATTTCTAATTATACGCGAGGAATTAATTCTCGCCTAATTTCGCGAGAAGCAACACTCGCGAAATAAAATTACTCGCTTTTATTTTTATGGTGTTAATATCTATGTAAAATCTCTAAATCAAACGTCCATTCGCGATTTATTATTCTCGCGATTTGACGTTAGAGAGCCTTCTTGCGATAAGTACTCGCAAAAAGTAAGGAATCTACATTCTAACATGAACATCTTCTCGTCCTGATGAAGAAAAACACTGCTCTGGAAAAAATATCAAAATTAAAGTACCATTATTACGTGTACTTTCAAAATTGCTAGAGGCCTATTGATTACAAAGCTCACTAGAATCCAGTGAAAATTTTTTTTTTTCTGATAGAGGAATACATCAAATCCAAATGTAAGCTTAAGACTTGATTTTAATAATTTTGGTGTACATCAGTACACATATATTTAAAGCTTTTTTTTTTCTTTTTGATAACTCTTTAAATATTAAGCATGTTAATTTCTCCATAGTTGTAAATATATTTACAACTAAATGGGGAAAGTTCTTTATGAACTATCAGCTGTCATAATATTTTAAATTTTATATACACATGTACGAGTGGGTATCAAAAAGTTCGTGGACTAGCGCCATAAAATTAAAACCGCTTTAGGTACATCAATGATTATTAAATTATCTAGTTAGCATAATCTTTTCTATCTATAAATTAAACCACAAATCACAAATTTTATTTTTTAATAAGTTAGTAATGTTTTTATAAGCAATGGTATGTCCAGGCGGCGCAACCTCGAAAACGAGGTTTTCCAACCTAAGTGTAACTGAGAAAAAACTATTTTGATATGAAGATTTGACATCCAAATATCCCGTTCATACAGGTATGTGTTGGGACACTATTGTTCAATAAAATATGGAATTTTTACCTCATTCTTGAAGTTTTCTGAAATTTTATCGTAAATTTTACATGGAGTTTCCAAACAAATATTGCTTGAAATTGACGTCAAAAACGGGGAAGGGTATCCTTTTCCATCATTCTATAAGGTTTTGCCGCTGAAAAAAATGGTATCGACCTAGGAAATATCTAAACTGGCTACGGAGAAAAAATATGTACCTAGAGTACTTGTTTTTTATGCCAAATAGATTCAGAGAGAAAAAGAATGCACAGTTAATGTCGTTTTGTAGTCAAGGTGTGAAAAATCAATCAGGTCAAAAAACAACGTTGATCATGTGTTGTAGATATTGAACTCCAAAAAGCGAAATATGCTAGCACCATCAAGCGAGAATCTTTCCCATTGTATAAATCCATTTGCAATATAATATGCGTTAAAAGCCGCTGTTCATGACATTGTAAAATCATATAAACAAAACGGATGGAATCCTAACTCAGCTCTAGGGAATCTCATCAAAATAAGTGTATTAGGTAGAAAAAGCAGACATTGAAAAACAATGATCGACGTTGTCGGACGTCATAAAACTAAGCGGCGACGGCGCCGCGTGATGATGTAATGTCGTTTTGATTTTGTAATAATTTGGGAAATAATGAACGCATCAAGCTAAATTTTAAACATTTCTTTATTTCTTGTTGTTTTATGTTCCATAAATATTTTGTAAACTCAGACTACAAAGTACTAATCTTATAGCTCCAGTCCACGAACTTTTTGATAACCCCTCGTATTGAATCAGTTGGGAACTATGGAAATAAATGTGATATGCCTTATGAATTTGTGTAGTTTGTTGAGTATGCCAGGTCATTACATGTAACTTGAAGTTGAAAACTTAGGATAATTCATGGGCTTCACTTTGATGCTTGAATTTTTAAAAATATATTTGTTATTATTTATAGAACATTTTCATAAGTTAACTTACATTATATGATTCCAATAACACCCTTAGACCAATGATTTGACATAGCTATTCCACAATATTTGACTTTACATTTGAGAATAAGACTATGGGTACCGGAGGTATACATATATATTTCCATAGTAAAAATTTATCGACCCCTGATGAACCTACAATAATCTAAAATGTCAACCAGAAATGAATAATGGGTACTATTAGTCCTTTGCAATTAAGAAAAAAATGCACTTGTATATTAAACTTGGAAAGGTACATAATCAAAGAGTGGCTCATTAAATTTAAATTCAGAGTACAGGTAAACCAGGAAGTTTAAACACCTGACAGTAGGTAGATAATACAGGTGTATAGATCACGTGCTCTCTGTCACTGAGATTACGTAGAAACGATCAGTAGTTTAATGAAAGAGACCGCCATTACTGTCTAACATCAGGTGATATTAAAAAATTGAAAAACAGATCAACTTATGCACAAAGAATATTACTCATAGAAATATTCATCTTAAGAATGCATTTAATAAGAAGAAATTTGTTCAAGAACAGGGTGAATATTTTTTTTTTGTACTTTCATTTTAAAATTCATGGAAACAAGATTCAATTGGACAAACAAAACTTGTTTCCTAAAATGACAAGTTTTATTTTCACTTTCTACAATTTTTTCTTACGATTCTAGTCAATTTTAATAACTGTACAGGGGTCCTTATTTCCTGACAATTGAAAAATACCTAAGGGGGCGCTTACAGGGGCAGGGACGGTTAAAAGGGATTATACGGTATTTTCTTTCTTTTCAGTACATTGATTTACTTTAAATTACACAGTAAATTCTTTTATCATGCACATGCAGTTATTTTTAACTCTATACTTCAGAGTCAGAAGTTTAACCATGGACCCCCGTACCAGTGCCCAGGACGTGATGCGATGTGACCTGTGTGAGACCGCTGTGGTACAGATGCACTGAGATACATGTCTTGTCAACCTGCGTACAGCTTGTGTAGGAATGCACTTCTCTGCTGATCTCTCAAAACCTCACACAATTGTTGATTTCAAGGACAGAAAATCTACTCCCCTATACCCTCGGAGTAAATTTCAACACAAACAACAATGTACAATGTACTGTAATCAATGTGGCATTCCTGTTTGTCCTAAGTGCATTGCATCTCATCAACATCTACGTCATAAGGTATCAGAAATTTTGCAAGTTGTGGATGAGAAAAAAGAAAAGATTATCAAAAAACAAATTGAACTAAATGAAATAATTCATCCCACATACAAGGACATTGCCTCTGATGTACAAAATAGAATGAGTCAATTAGAAAAGGAATATGGAGATCTCTCAACAGCCATAACAAAACATGGAGAGGACTGGCATAGAAAAATTGACAAAATTGTCCAGAAACTTAAAGCTGAAGTTGATGAGATGAAAAACACACAGTTACAAACTCTACAGAAACATCTGGATGAAATAAACAAGACAATGTCTCACATCAAGGATGAAATTGATTAAATTGATCTTGCTGAAGATTCTAATAATATTCCAAAACTGTTCAGTATTACTCTCAATGTAGATAGATATAGAAATCTTCCATAAAAAATTCATCCATCTTTACCTAAATTCTCTCCAAGCAAAATTATTGGAGAAGAACTCGGTAAAATATTTGGAACCCTATCATTAAGTTTTTTAACTTCAGATAAACATGGCTACTGCATGAAGACAACACAAAAAACACCAGAAGCTGGATCCTCTCCTCCAGTCAAACAGCTGCTTGATGAACCAGAGGCTGTCACCATCATAAACACTGGGTATGAAAGCCTTTACAATGTGGTCTGTCTGAGTGATGAAGAAATCTGGGCAGGTGGACTTGACAGCACCATGAAACTCTACAGCATCAATCAGGGATTACTACTCAAGTCAATCACAACCAAGTCAAGGAACTGGTCATTTGACTTAACAGTGACAGAAAGTGGAGATTTAGTTTACACTGATAACTATTATTGAACTGTGAACATTGTGAAGAATGAGAAGATAGAGGAGGTGATTAGACTACAGAACTGGGAACCTCAAGGTGTCTGTAGTACCTCCTCTGGTGACCTCCTGGTTATCATGGTCAGTGATGATATAAAAACAAACAAGCGTTGTCCATTACTCTGGCTCCACAGAGAAACAAACCATTCAGTTTGATGATCAAGGTAAACGTCTTTATTCATCACCAATGGTTACATATATATCTAATAAATACTGGTACATAACTGAGAACAAGAACCAGGATATATTTGTGTCTGATGAGGGAGCTAGAGCAGTAGTGGTGGTCAATCAGGCCGGGAGACTGAGATTCAGGTACACTGGACATTCTTCTGATTCAAAGAGTGAACCATTCAGTCCTCAAGGAATCACCAAAGACGGTCAGCGTCACATCCTTATAGCTGATGATAAAAATAACAGTGTCCACATCATAGACCAGGATGGACAGTTCCTCCGTTACATAGACTGTGGACTGAGTAAACCCCAGGGACTGTGTACAGATACAAACGACAATCTGTTTGTTGCTCAATTAAAAAACAAAGTGAAGAAAATCAAATATTTCCAGTGAAATGCTACTCCTGCTGAATACAAGTAAAATACTAGTGTGTGTCTCTAAAAATTCTTCGAGTCTGCATCATACTGTTTTATTATTGTCAAACAATGATACTGGTCTTATAATACCATCAACGTTATATCCAACTTTTAAGAAATAAACTTATATGTCTCAAGAATTTATTAATCTTTACATTAAACTTATGTTAAGGGAGCTGACTGGGATTTTATAGTGTGAAAACTACAAATGAGAAAGTTTTTAATTTTATACCATACGCATTTTACAGTGTACATGCCAAGTTTAAGAAAAATCTACCATCAAGGTGTTTTTATATCTTTTCAGGTCACCTGAGTAAACTCAGGTGATCAATTGCTATCCGTTTTCGTCAGTCGTCGTGCGTTGTGCGTTGTGCTTCGTACGTTAACTTTTGAACATTTCAGCTTCTTCTCTACAACCACTAAACAATTTTCAACAAAATTTAGCACAAACCATCTATAGGTAAAGGGGAACAAAGATTGTGAATTTCATGATCCCTGTTCATCTGGGGCCTGAGGGGTGGGGCAAAAACCACTAAAATTAGTGCAATCTTTAAAAATCTTTTTCTTTACTCCTAGACATCAAGCAGTCAAACTGTTGGCATGAATGTAATTAGCACTGAGTCTTCTACCAAAATTGTGAAATTCATGGCCCCAGGGTCAGAGGTTCTAGTGCTAGGGCGGGGCTATATAGATTATATAGTAAAAATGCATTAAATCTTTGAAAATCTTCTCCTCTGCTCCTGGATATTAAATAAACTACTGAGTAACTAGGTACATAGTTATGATGAGCAAGAGTGCTTCTTCCAAAATTGTGAATTTTATGGCCCCAGGGTCAGGGTTTCTTGTGTTAGGGTGGGGCTCTACTGATTATATAATGAAAATGCACTCTTTGAAAATCTTCTCCATTGGTCCTGGGTATTAAATAAACTAAGTACATAGTTATGATGAGTGAGAGTGCCTCTTCCGAAATTGTATATTTTTGGCCCCAGGGTCAGGGGTTATGGTGTAAGGGTGGGGCTCTATTAATTGTACAGTGAATATGCATTAATTCGTTGAAAATCTTCTCTGCTCGTAGGTTTTCAATAAACTAACTAAGTATATCATTTTGATGAGCATGAGTGCCTCTTCCAAAATTGTGAATTTGATGGCCCAAGAGTCAGGGGTTCTGGGTTAGAGCGGAGCTTTTCTGAATGTATTGTGAAATGCATCAATTCTTTAAAAATCTTCTTCTCTGCTCCGGGGTATTAAATAAACTAATTTAGTATAAAGTTATAACGCCTCAACCAAATTTGTGAATTTCATGGCCCCTATGTCAGAGGTTTTTGCATGGTGTAGGGGGGGGGGGCGCTTTGATTATATAGTGAAAATACATTAATTCTTTGAAAATCTTTCTCTTTGCTCCTGCGTATTATGCTAATGATCCAAGTATATATATTTATGATGAAGAAAGGTGCATCTAGCAAAACGTTTAATTCATGCCCCCTGGGTCAGCTCAGGTATGGCAGGGGGGTGGAAGAATACATAGTCTAAAAATAAATTAGAATACTCAAGTGACATATAAGGCCCGTGGGCCTCTTGTTAGTATTGCCAGATGAAAATTTTCTGCATGTCAGAAACAATTTATATTGATTTTACATTCATAAAAAAATTGAAAGGAAATTCTCATAAATTTCAGACTGGATTGATAACTTTACAAGTTGTTTTTCTTGATAACTTCATGGTAAGGACATGGGAATATACTCTGGATTTTACCTGTTAATCTAAATTTCTGCTTCAGTGGTCCACAGATTTCTTCCTCCACGGATGACTGACTTTTCCTGCCCCCGTCCAGAATCCACGGAGTCTGACTCAGAGTGCGGCTGTACTTATTCTATTATCTATCTGTGGAGGAATTAAAGATCATATATCACTTTTTTTCCTAAATAACTATAGATATCTATAAATGCAAATTTTTTTTGATTTTTGAGATTAACATCACTTTTTCTGTCTGTGACCTTGAACTTCTCTAAATAATCTTATAACAAAGTCGTGTCACTTTTATTTCACAAGCATATTTTTCCCATTATAAGATTCTAACATGTGTCCAATATAAAAATAAGTTTTGTATATTTGGTCAAAAAAATACTGAATTTATTTTACAAAGAATGCTAGGTTTACTAGAAAAATAGTTCATTTATGAATATTAAAAAAACAGAGAACTGACCGGCTTAAAAGACAGCATCATGGACACACTTGATCATGTAACATTTTCAGATACTGTTCTCATTGCTCTTTGGAACACTGTAGTTCCTGTAAAATAAATGAATAATTTACTCAATGTACAGTCGACGTCAATCCTTGATATCCGGAACCCATGGAGAATAATGAAAATAAAATAAATTACATTTCAAAGCACCAAATCCAAAACTGCGCTTGGTATTCTTAAACGAATGTTTTGATCGAGTTTTTGAGTGGATTTTGGTCATGTCCTTTATTTGTAAAATTCTGCATCATTTTTAAATTCTAACATTAAATCTGAATTCTACAATGCAAATTGAACTATATTCAATGAAAAAACCGCGATTAAATTCCATTCAAGTTTAATTAAACCAGGGACTATATTTTGTGGCGGAAGGTTTTTTAGACGAAAATCATCAGTTTTTCCCTTTTGTACTATAAAAGTACTCTTTATTTTGGATTCCTATTTTTTCCATGCTGGTTGCACACAAAGCTGTTTTTGCAGTAAAATGTGTCATGCTGGTTCTGAAATATCTATTAAATTATTTCTTAATTCTATCAACAAAGTGTGACAAATATTAAATTATTTCTTATGAATTCTATCAACAAAGTGTGACAAATATAGTAAAAATATTCTGAAAACCCGGGAAAAAATTGAGCCCAATTTAACGTAAAATTTACAAATTTTTAGTAATATTTGAAAATTAACATCATATACCAGCTTTTCTGATGTTCTTTTCTAAATATTCAAGGTAACTTTGACCTATTTGCTTAAATTCGGAAAAAGTTTAAGACTTCAAAATAATTTTCTTGCTTATTAAATTTTCAATGCCAGAAAAATCACATTTTATTAGTGCAGAAAGGTCAAATATTTAATTTGAAAGTTTTTTTTAGTTACAATTTTAAAGTGTCTTTTTTTAAACAGACTTAGAGTTGAGTTTGTTTCTTGCTTTAATTGGATAAAAATATTGCAGGGAAAACGTCGAAGGTGTTAATTTTAATTAAGACACAAATTTCAGTGCAAGAAGGTCATATCAAATGAACTGTAGCGCCACAAGAAGCATATTGACCCCCATTTTTTGATTTGAATTTTAATTAAGCTATGTATGTAGAAACTTAAAATATACTTGGCAAAAAAAGTTTAAGACTTTAAATATCAGGATCGAACGTCGTTAAAGTAATTAACGAATGCATAATGGAAATATTTGCCTTGCAGTATGTGTTTATTCAAAGCACGATGTGGGTATCTTTAGAGTTGAGTTGCATGTAGTCTAAATTTATCTAGTATCATCGCATTTCCGTAGTATGCAAGTTGGGGTGTACTTTTTTCTGAAAATAGTCTTTTGCTTTTGTTTTCATTCATGTTCATGATGCTTTTTACTTAGACATGCTTGCCCCTCCCCCTTTCCCAACCTTTTTTTTGAAATCGTAAAGAAGCTGCGTTCCTGCAACTCGCTGGTCTGCAAAATATGAGGTAGACGATCAAAATACTACCCACACAAAAATCTGTTTAAAAAATTATTGCGCACAAACGCTGTGCTTGGTGTTAAATTAAGAAATATTCTGAGAATATGACAGTTTGAAACCGAGAAACAGTGTACTTTTTGTGCACAATAAACATACACTTTTGTTCCAGTTGGTGGCACTGTGGCTCGCCCGTCTGTCAATATATATTTTGCGGAGAGCTATAGTTCTGCAGCTAACCGCAAGGATGGACTCTGGCAAATCTAGCCGTTGGGGAAAATGGAATATTTGAGGAAAGGTCTCGACAACTTTTGTCAATTAACAAAGGTTATTTCCATTCTTATTTCAGAATGGACATAAGATATGATATATTCTGGTGAGCTAGAGTATAAAGATTCCACACTATGACAGACTTGTTTCTTTTTGGATAATTTATTTGAAAAGGGCGTTAATTTAAATCTAACGATCAATATCTGTGCAAGAGATTACCTTTGAACATGTTGAATGAGTTGACTATAAAATGGTCATCATAACAAAACGTTGTATATTCTGACATCTCATCGAATTTCGTGGAAAGATGTCCTCAGAAATTAAAATCTCTGATCAGACGGATATTACACCTTAGGAAGGCAAGGGGGTCAACAGATTTTTAGATATAATAGCTTAAGTCACCTATCATTTGGCAAAGAAATGTTTTAAATATTTAGATTCTAAAATGTGAACATTTTTGTATATTTTTATATCGAGCTCTTCTAAAGCAGCGATCGCACCGTGGTCGTCAGGTCGTCGGTTCGAATCTCGGCTGCGACTGACCCGAGTCGACAGAAAATGGATAGTAACTGTTACTTGGCCATACGCTCGGAAGTTGAAAATGAAAGTTGTGGGTCCTTCGGACGAGACCTTAAAACCGAGGTCCCGTGTCACGGCAGGTGTTACGATAAAAAAGTTCCAAGGTCTTTTTTACGTTTCTTCTTCATCGAAAGTAAGTGACTTTTAAGTTCTAGGTAGTCAATTGAAGATTACTAACAAAATGAAAGTGGAACTATTAAAATTTAATTAAGGGAAAGAGCTTTAATGAACGTAAAACATATTTTAGTGAAAAAGTTTATTTTTAAAGGAATGATATCCAATACCTGTATATACTAACCAGAGTGAATTGTACATTTTTTTAAAATCCTTTAATTTCAATCACATAATCGAACACTTTATTTGGGAGGGGGGTATGCAATACACGTATTAAATAT